AGCATTTAATATAATCGACATTGTACTTAAATCAAAACAATGCACATACACTTTAGCACCCATACTTGTGATTGAGAGTTTTTTTTAAGGTATAAAAACCTATTTCTTATTATGCACGTTTTTTTTTTAAAAAAGGTTGTGATGTTAATCAGTATGGAGAAAATTGCACCGAGTGTGTAAGCCGCTGTGTAAATTGTGATATTGTGGATGGATGTGTTAGGTGTCAGTCAGGGTTCGCAGGCAAGAGATGTGAAGACTGCGAACCAGGTTTTTCAGGACAAAATTGTGGTATGTTTTAATTTAATTTATTTATTTACTAAAGTAAAAATAATAAATCATCTAATAGCCGTATGCAAAAGCGAAATTTATTTTCGATTTAATTTTTACAATTCTTCACTTACTAGTATAAGCATGAAAAACAATTCAAACGAACCAGCGATTTTTCTTGAATGTTACATGTAGATGTTGTTCTGGCATGAAATCTTAGATTTTTCCTACGGGTTTTAAAATTAGATAATTTGAATCATGTGATTGCAATTCTAGTCCTTAGGTGTTTCAATGTTGATTATTATCTCTTTACAATGTTAAGATAAAGCATCTTAAAATGTTTATCATAATTTGTATTTTCATTCATAAAATATTATACTGATCCGCATAAAAAAAGCTTTTTTGAATATTTTCTACTTTTCTTAAATCGAATTTTAATTTACAGAGCCCTGTCTGGCGGGATGGTATGGTTATAAATGTTCCCAGTCGTGTAGTGTTCACTGTCTGAATTCAGAAGTTTGCGACAAAGTAACCGGAAGCTGCCCTAGCGGATGTGTGTCTGGATACAGGGGAGATAATTGTTCACAACGTAAGGAATTCATGTGACCATACAAATGATGACACTAAAAATGAATTTGTTACATTAACCATTTTTTGTCCTAAAACTTTGCATTAAGATGAGATCATACAGATGTAGATTTATTTTTGTAATGTGATTTATTTTTAATAATTTTTTTTTAGTGTGCTCATGCCAATGCTTTATTTTAGCTTGTGAGAATGGAACGTATGGTTTGGAATGTCTAAACCAATGTAGTGGACAATGTTTAGGGAACAAAACATGTCATCATATAAACGGAAGCTGCATTAGAGGTTGCAAAAAGGGATATGAAGGAAACCGGTGTTTTAATGGTATGTGTGAGCCAAAGGCGTTTTTAATAAAAGGTTTAACAGAAGTTAATTACCAAAAAAATGTAAGTGCACCAAACAGAATTCACATATGTACATGTACGTAATTCTTTAGCAAACCTATTTTTTCTATACTAATAGAAATGATAAGGGGCATCATGTTTTCATTAATAGCTTGCAAAACTGGAACCTATGGAGAAGACTGTAAATATAATTGCAGCGGCCATTGTTATTTAGATGAGCCATGTGATAGATTTAATGGCTCGTGTCCAGCCGGATGTGACGTTGGATGGTCAGGATCAACGTGTGAAAATGGTATATAATTCATTAAATTTTGATCAACAGATTTTCTTCTATATAAAGATATGTAAAGCGGGAAAAGAATGCAAGATAACCTACAACAACAACAACAACAACAAACATTTTGCTACACTTTTTTTCAAAGAGTTATTTTGAAAACATGTATCAACCTTGTTTAATTGTTCTTTTTTACCCGGAAATTCACTTTCAGAATGTTTGCAAGGAAAATATGGATTCAAGTGCAACAATACTTGTAACACATGTAAAGATATGATTTGTAATAATTTCAATGGATTTTGTTTTGATGGTTGTGCTGATGGCTGGACGGGGGAACTTTGCAATGAGGGTTAGTAATAAATATCTTTATAAGATTATTTTTCATTTAATGCTGATTGTCCAGTTACGTTTACGTGAAGCTTCACTTGGTTTACTACGAAAGCCCAGAAGGCTCATTCGAGATTCAAGTTTCGAAATACGAGATTCGAAATACGAGATTCGAAATTCGAGTTTCGAGATTCAAAATCCAGATTAACTAATCAAATACGGGTTCAACATTTGATTACTTCCCTTTATTATGTTTTATCTATCAATAAATCGTTTAATATATTTATAACAAATGAGTCATTTGATTAAATTACAATACAAGAAAGAGTGTTACAGAATATATATTAGAAGGAAAGTTAAGTAATCATTTGATTTTTGATCAGCAAGATATACTTCAATTTATAGTATGACTTCTTAAATATTAAATAGAATACATATATCAGGAATATATATATTTTTGCATTGTCTACTGTATATAAAGGGTTGCTGACATAATAATACAGTTATAAATAGTGTCTAAAGATTAACAAAATCCCCACCCTTACCGGCAACACCTGCCAATTTTTTCCGACACTGAAAATGTTACTTTAAAACTTTGAAAGGCAATGTAGCCTTGATAAATAAAAACCGCGCTCGTTTTCCTAATAGAGGGAATACATTAAAATAAAGTTTTCAATTACTTATGTTCATCTAAGGCTTTGATTTCTTGAACTAATTAACAATTATATATATACAATACAGATTGCAAATATGAATTAGAATAAATGCAGCATTCATTTTATCTGATATCAAACAGTAGATTAGTCTAAATTAGCTGCAGAACTATAGCGTTATGGTTTTATATTTTAGTCTCTGACCATAGCGTTATGGTCAAAGACTAAAATATACTCGGTTTTTATTTATCAAGGCTACAAGGATTTTGTTAATCTTTAGACACTATTTATAACTTTATTATTATGTCAACAATCCTTTATATATAGTAGACAATGCAAAAATATATATATTCCTGATTATGTATTCTATTTAATATTTAAGAAGTCATAATATAAATTGAAGTATATATTGCTGATCAAAAATCAAATGATTACTTAACTTACTTTCTAATATATATAACACTCTTTCTTGCATTGTAATTTATTCAAATGACTCATTTGTTATAAATATATTAAACGATTTATTGATAGATTAAACATAATAAAGGGGAGTAATCAATGTTGAACCCGCATTTGATTGGTTAATCTGGATTTTGAATCTCGAAACTCGAATTTCGAATCTCGTATTTCGAAACTCGAATCTCGAATGAGCCTTTTGATTGGTTAATCTGGATCTTGAATTTCGAATCTCGTATTTCGAAACTTGAATCTCGAATGAGCCTTCTGGGCTTTCGTAGTTTACAGCGTGTCCCGTTAGTTTCTTCGGTCCTGACTGTTCAAGACGATGCGGGAAATGTGTAAATGAAACCTGTCACCATGTGAACGGATTGTGTCCAAGCAACTGTAATGAAGATTGGAAAGGAAGTAAATGTTTACAAGGTAAATGCTACATCACTTTTCCAGAGTGTTGTCTGTCGTGCAGGGTTGTATGGTTGTACTATAGTCGTGTAGTATTAATTGTCTGTATTGAGAGAATTGTGAGAAAGTAAATGGAATTCACCTCAGTGGATGTGTGTCTTGATACAGAAATTATCTTAAATTAAGAAATAAGATTTCTGTTTTGGAAGTTCATGGGCTATAATTTGATATTGGTAACGTGTTCAAATCCCATGACACCCGAAGTGCGTTATATTAGACTTGACTACGTACATATACCAATTTAATAAAATTTCCGAATGAAACTAAAATAATTTTATCTTCATATACATTTTTATTTTGTTTTTCTTGAGCTTTCGTAAATTCGAAGCAAATGTCCTAAAAAACGATCAGACACCACAAAATATAGTTCCTTAAATTTTTTAATTGAAAATAAAACATAGAACAGCATCTATGACTTCCGTTTTTGGAAGTTCTTGGGCTATAACTTGATATTGGTAACGTGTTCAAATCCCATGACACCCGAAGTGCGTTATATTAGACTTGACTACGTACATATACCAATTTAATAAAATTTCCGAATGAAACTAAAATAATTTTATCTTCATATACATTTTTATTTTGTTTTTCTTGAGCTTTCGTAAATTCGAAGCAAATGTCCTAAAAAACGATCAGACACCACAAAATATAGTTCCTTAAATTTTTTAATTGAAAATAAAACATAGAACAGCATCTATGACACAAAATCAGATGCAAATATTTAGTTTCCAGGAATTTATATTCAAGATAATATAGGTGTGAAGAAGGTTTTTCGTAATTTAAATACATTCAATTGACGTGGCGTAGTTCACATGCATGCTTTAATATGCTTAGCGCAAATAGAGGTTTATAGGGAAAACTAAATGTTTGCAGTATTTTTATTGATGTAATTTTTTCAGCTTTTTCAGATCTCACAGAGAACAAAACAATGATACCTCTTATAGTTGGAGTTTCGGGGATAGTCATCATTTTGGGATGTTCCATACTGGTCGTTGTTTTTATATCATTCAGGTATTATTTTGGTTTCGTTTAATGCCTCGCTTGTTTACATTATTGTTAGAAAATATCAAGTTAAAATATAATTTCAAATTGTCTTTCCATATGAAATATCCAGGGGATGCTTACTCCTCTGTTGCACCTGTTCCTGATTTCTCGTCCATTTGCATGAATACATTCTAGTATAAATAATTTCAGTTTCATCCATATCTTTTTTTTCATATATAAACATTATTTCATTAAATGTTAAAGAAGAAAATCCCGGACGAAACAAGAATCTGTGTACGATTCCATTCAAATAAGCCAAATGAAAGGTAATATATTTATATTTATATATATTATGTCCTTTATTGTCTCCATATAAATGAAAAATAAAGACAGATTTTGTGACAGCATTTTAATTATTACCATATAAATATTTGAGACAAATACCTTGAATTTGTAGATCTGGAGCATAGAATTAATATTTCGGTCAACATTTTCGAACTTATTATTTTCATGGCTTTATTAAAGATAAAAACGTACTCTTCTTTGTAATAAAACAGAAAATCACATTGTTCATTATTTATCCTTTATTTCAGATCAAGAAAATCCTTACGCTGGCCTGAATACGAAATAATCTGACAAAAATATTTATCAAATATAAATATTTGCTTTTAACTTTCTTTTCAAATCCTTTGTACATTTTATTTCATTTTGAAAGCAACTAAATTGTATCCTACGTCATCTCGACGCAGTATATGACAGAAGATTTGCGATTTAGATTGTAATTCAAAGATGTACGTTAAGTATGATAATGTTAATGCTTCATGATGTATATTTTTTTTAAATATCTGCTTACATCTTAAAAGAAGTAAATAATACAATAAGCAATAAGGGATGACTATGCGTTGTTTACTGGTTAAACAAACCTTTTTACCAATAAAAAATTCGAAAGATAGACTTAAATTACTGATGTTACTCTTGATTAATAGTTATAGTCAGAAGTCAGAAATAATATCACTTAAAATATGAAAACAAAATCAGGACTTTTTTGTACTCAAACAAAAAAAAAAAAAAAAAAAAAAAAGAAAAAAAAATACATGAAAAGCATTTTTGAAGAAATAATGCACTATTACATGTAATTAACTTGCACAGCTGTTATTTCTTTACCGTTTGTTTTTGAACAGCCAAAAAAAAAAATTAAATATTGTACCTATATATTCTTTTTCAAGATATTTAGGTAGTCCATTAAACTTCAATAAAATTTTAAACTCTTTAAGTAACTTTAAGACTTGATTATATATATAAAAAAAAACGTGGGCACGCCTAACTTTTTTCAACTTTCTTTTAATAAGATTTTCTTTGTCTGAATAGAAAAGTGTTGAGAAAATCTTATGTACTGAAAATAATACACTGTAGTGTGGAATTTTCAACAAAGAAGGGAAAATATTTAAAAGTTACAATAGCATTTATAATGTTAATGATAGGAAGATACTGAATGTCAGCACTCTTGTAGCAATGTCCAAAAGAATGAATGATTTTACAACGTAAGCTATATGAATGGATGAAATGGTCCATGTCCTGAAACGCGTTTTTAAATTCTATATGTTGTATTTTTCATAGAGAGGAAAATAAAACAAACATGATTTTACACGTTTTTTTTTGTTTATATTGGCGATTGTTGGTCGTGGCATAAGTAAAAGCAGCAAACTAAGGGTTGCCAAGCATTGAGAGCAACCCCAAATTGCTACAAGCGACAGCAGGATTGTATTTATTTCTTAATCTCAAATAAGTGAATGTTCCAATTTCTTCATGTATACGTTTAACAAATCTCAATATCCCATGAAAAAAAAACTGAGATAATAGACTGAGGTCAATTTTTTTTTAATTATCTGTGTGTTCATTGATCTTTAATACATTTCACCCAACAGACTGATCGATTGTACGTTTAAAGTCCTTCTCATATGGAGAAGCCACCTTTTGCCGGTGAGGAGCTGCAAATTTCGTCTTATACACGGCACTTATGGTTATATGCACTGAACAGTTAGTGATCATTTTCGTACCAGCACCTACTGTGACACGGAACCTTGGTTTATACGGTGTTATCCGAAGAACCGGTCTTCACGTCCCACAGTCTGATTCGAACCAGCGAATAAAGGATCAACTTCTTACTTCGCAACTCTAGAGCAGACGCTGTAACTGCTGTGCCACGCGGGCGACTTTTCAGCCTAGAGAAAAATTTGATTTGCGTTTAGATCAGTAACAATTGTGTAACATTTTTTGACATATTTAGAAAACAAATTACTTTCAATAATTTTCAAGTTTCAATAAGTAAAATTGTAAATAAAAGAATATTTATCTAATAAACAAATTTAAGCAAAAAAAATAATAATAATAAAACGAAACAAAAAAAAAAAAAAAAAAACTAGTTAGCATGCACCAAATGAACAGACAATTTGCTTGAACTGTTTTCAACTAAATGTCAAAAGGTAAAATTAATAATTTACTTTTTGCATATATATTGTAAAACAATTTTACTGGGTCTAAATTTTCTAGTCCAAAGAAAAAATAATTCAAGGGGATTTAATATCGAGATCGAAAAGAGATACGTCGAACTATAGTATAAGAAAATGTACGGTTATGGGGGTCTTCTATACCAGCCAAGACAATTGTTAAGCTCAACAGTCAGATGATTCGTTACAAATTGGGAAATATATATCAAAGTTATCACACCTAATATCTTAAAAGCGATTGCATAGTTTTGTACCAGAGCATGAGATGCTTGCGAAAGACATTGATCTTAATTTGTTGTTTCAAAAATATATCTCAAATCTTATGTGTGATTTATTATTTTTAATTGGTATAAAACTTTTTTCTTTTTAAATAAGGGATTTCAACTCATGGTGTGTTCACTTAAGTTTTGTTGACGGACAGACAAATATTCTTCATGCCTCCCAGCCTTCAAAAACGGGGAAACTACTAGCATATCACTTAAATTTATACAGCTGAGTTGTTCACAATCTGGCAATTATGGTCACCTTAAGGGTCAGGTAGTTTATACCGGTCTGCAAAATTAATATTTTTCTAAATTAAGTAAAAAACAAGTTCATCAAATCTTAGATTTGAGAGTCTTATTCGCACCAACGACCCATTAATGTTATTTTTATTATGTTTTATAAAAATCTGGTCCTTACACGGAGATTCGTCAGGCTTAGAGATTGGTATTATGGTGGATTATGTTCTACTAATTTCTTTTTATCTTGAATTGTTAGAGTACAGGGTACTACTGTGTCACGCAGTTACATATATAACGATTTCGGGGATTTTTTTTTGAGTAAAAAGCATTCTGGAAGTGTTGCATTAGCATTACTTGTCCCCTACCGGATTCCCCTTTTCTCTTTATGATATCATTTTTAATACCCTGTTCATGAGAACGTGCCTGCAAAATGAGGACATTTCGGTAATTGCTTGTTTATCATGTCTTGGAAATTAATAAGTTAATCTGTCTTACAAAGAGAGACGTCTATAAATATCATTATACGTACATAAATACATGGTTCGGTGAAAACAGCTCATTTTACATGGTTAGATAACAATTATATTTTTAAAAAATCAAACTTGAGCCATGGTTTTCACTTAGTCAGAATGCCCCCATACACACTTTAGTACAGACATAAACAGAGGAAGTCAAATATGATACGCATTAAAAAGACTTGCTATTTTTCTATGAGTGTCTGCATACCAATGTTTTTTAATGTTTATATATATTTTATGCTTTTTAATGCTTATATATATTTTACCATCAATTAGGAGTTAATATTACAAAAATTAGTAGCCTGTGCTTTTATTTGTCAATCCCGAATTTCTTGTAACGCTTAAACGGCGTTATTACGTTAACCATTTTAATTTCATACTTTCTTATATCTATTATGGTATTTTCGTACCAAAAAAAACTACAAATATGAATTATCCTTAGTAATGGATTTGAAGATGAAGAAACTTTTTGGGTGTGGTTTACTTAACTTTTCAAAATGTTATAAAATGCTTGAGAAGGCAATCAGTTGTTCAATCATACAAATTACAATCGACGTGCTTGATCTGATTCTCTCTTTGTAAAACGAAACTTGACAATACTTTTTAAAATTTGAAATGAAGTGAAATTATTCAGCTTTTAAAGAAATATAAGAATTCGTTCTTTCCATTTATTTATTTTTTTATATAATGCATGTAACTGTAAGATAACGTCAACTGATATCCAATATTTTTCAACATAATTAATGAAATTACACGTAGGATGTTTCAGATTGACTAAATATTCGGCAGTTAATGTTAATGAAAAACTTAGCTCTGTCAGGTAAAACCAAATATATGCATGTTAAATGATTGATCGTAAACAATGATGTTCACGAAATACCAAGATCCGCCAGAAAAAAAAAATAAAGCCTGACCTTTGAAATGCTTGAGGTAATATCCGTTTACAACATTTGTGTATAAAGGTCTAGACATTCTTTGTTAAGGTTTGTAAATCTAGGCCATCCTAATTTGTTAATTTTGTATTTCATTTAAGTGGTTTGTCAAGAGCAAGGATGTTCGTAACGCATGACAACGCAAAAGGTTGTTTACCGATGTATAAATTTTTCTTCCTCATTGATATACTTCACCTTAAATAGACTTGGTCTTAAGACGTATTATTTCTTATAGGTAAGATTTTCCTTTTTTTTCGTAAGATAAATTATGCATGTTAAAAAGAATTATTGCATAACAGATACGATTATCATTTTGTTGAATTATCTTTTTCAGCTGGACATTGTACTTGTATCCTTAACTTTAATAATGAAAAAAGAATTAAAAAATATTGTTGCTGTTAAATCGTCAAAACGAATAAGCACACTCACAATGTAAAGAAAATACCTCGATCAATCATGACTTTTTCATTTTAAGAAGATATTTAAAGCTTTTTCCTAGTATATATTCCTATGTAAAACATTGATCGTCCCTTGTGGTACCCCCTCTTTCCGGGGGTCATGATTTAAACACACTTGAATAATTACTAAGTTATGATATTTCCCCATAAGTTTCATATTTCCTGGCACAGTGGTTCTTAAGAAGAAATGAAAACATGCAACCAAAGTATTATTCTCAATAAGGCCGTTTTGCGGTCTACAATGACTTCAAAATTTCAGATAGTATTTTCCTCCATTTCCCCCCATACAAGTTGCATGAATTAATTGGCTTATGTTCCAGTTTAAGGTAGCTCTAAACACTGCACACTTAGGAGCTCCACTTTAAGGGTAGTTTCATGCAGTTAGAGTGATCTGTACTGAGATGTAAGATTTTAAAAATTGTAATTTACAGTAAATTACACGATTTGATATACATTATAATATTTTCAGCACTATGTTAGACCAAGAATAAGTTATTGAATAATCATTATTTACTTTAACGTTCCCAATGTAAGTAAACAGCAGTGATTTCTGCTAACAAATAGTCAATTGTCTTTGAACATTTTTCCTGTGCAAATAGGGCAGGTACAATTACCCTATGTTAAAATTGAATGAAAAAATCTTAATATGCACACCTTTAAATCATATAATATATTTTTCAAAGTAAAAACATTTCTGTTAGTGTTTAGAGCTTCCTTATTGATAAATATTGATTTGTTAATGATACAGTTGCATTTGATATGATATAAGGTCACAAAGTAAGATGCAATATGTCTGTACTAACATTAGAGTAATGGAAAAATCAAGATAACTCCTACCCATGTCATAACATCTTAAACCAACATCAAAAATGAGTATGTAAACGTCTTATAAACATGAAAAGTGAATACCGATTTATAAACTTGGTTAAAAGTGGCTATGATATATAGATAAAAAAAACTTCATGCTCTATTTTTAAAATATGTGCAAGAAAGCATATTAGGTTATGAAGAGTAAGTCGTTTTAGGTCAACTTTTGGTATGAGTCCAATTTTCTGTTGATTGACTAAGAATTTGTATAAGCCATGCATGTTTACTTAAAAATGTCAATTTTTAACTTAAAAAGCTAAAATCAAATGACTGAGGGCCCTGGATCTCATGATAGTACACTTGGAGAAGTCTCGTTGAAATGTCTGCTAAAGATTAAGAAAAAAACTTTTCAGAGGCTATAAGACGTGAATTTAAGTGTTGTATTAAAATTATTGATATTTATAAGGATAGATTACTTAGTCTATATATGCTACTTCTTTTTAATTCCTTTACTACATATATTCTTTGTATTTCCTTATGAGTACTGCATATATGTTATAGAAATTATAAAAACTATCTTTTTTGTATGGGGAACATGCATTTAGGGTTTTTCAACCAGATAAAAATTAGGGTTAAGTGTTACAATTTTTATTTTTCAATATGCATAGTTGCATTATTGACCAACGCCTAACGCGGTACGGACCTTTTTTTTAAAAGATAATATCCAAACGACCCATGCCATTTACTTATAATGCTAAACATTTAGGAATATGAACTGTCACTATCCGTATTAAACGCCTTTTTTTGACGATGTACCGGGAAAGAGACTGAATTTAACCCTCAGATTTCAAGAGTGCGAAAGGAGCATCAAACCTTAATGTCCATTTTCTACCTTGGATGTTGTAGAATTCTGTTACAATGTAGTCCATAGATAAACTAATACTTCTGATATGCATAGTGGAAGGAACTGTTAGAAAGCAACTCCATTTTTAATTTTTTTTTAATTTCACTAAGAGAAATGCAACCGCTATGAATTTTATGTATTGAGTATTTTACATGTTAAGGATAGTCAGCATGTACTTGGATTGATAGTTTTAAACTGTTAATTTTTTTTGTGCGAGTGTCGAATTAATTTTATTAATTACTACTTCATATTTATTTAAACAAATTCAAAATCCATTCAGTGCTTTCAACATTTGATACTTAGCTTTCATAGTTCAATAGAAACTTGCCTTACATAAATTGATATTTTTATGCGTAAAATAGGTACCGCATTTATAGAAATGATTTTTTTGCTGTTTTACGCAGAGTCAGCAAAATTTCAGCCATGTCTCGGTTAAAGAAATGATAAACAATTACAATAAAAACAAATTTGATATAATACTTTTAATCAAATGGTAGTTAAGCTTTTTTCAGAATCATACGGTGTGCACTTTTTAAAGATTTACATCCAAAGTATGCAGAATATCAATGCATCAAATTTCCTGTCATAAAACTACATCTTGAGCCTTAAATTAAAAAAAAAATCGTCGAATTTATTACTTAGGTCTGATGTGTTTCCGACATATTTTTTTAACTGACGGTCATTTGTGATCTCTAAATCACCTGACTTAGGTGATCGATGTTGAAAATTAAGCATCAAAATCATGAAAAAGAATGATTATAGTATTGTAAGCTATTTTTAAATTTTTTAAATCAGTGATGGATATAAATTCGAATAATTACAGTACTTTATCAAAAGAAATTAGAAAAGCCCCAATGAAATGTTTTACTGTTGGGGAAGGTTAAAACTCGCCTTTTTCCTTCCTGGATTTGCTGCTCTTTTGTAGAAACTTCTTCATTTGTATTCCCTGATTTTGTTTTTTTTTTTCTTTTCTTTTTTTTTTGCTTCTGCAAATATCAAACCTTGATTTCACACTACATGATGCTTTTTAAATGTTGGCAGATTTTGTTGTCACTTTCACTCAATACGAGTACATGTAACTTTTCTCAACATAGTCACCGTTTAAATCAAAGCATTTCTTATGTCGCTTGAAACAGTCATAAAAATGAGCAAAAAATGTTCAGGTTTCATTCGTTAAATAATTTTAGACAATGCCTGCAATCATCCGACCTCTGTCCACGTAAAAACGTCTTTATTTACAGAAATACGGCAAAGTCACGTTATGAAATTCATTTTTACAGCACAGCAAACTCGGAATTTTGGTTTTTATTTTCACGCATGTCATCCTGTAAATTGTTCCTTCTGTCCGAAAATATTATATGCCACTCAGGTACTAATGAACAGCTTCTTTAACTATGATTTCCCGATTGCTTTCAGAATGTATTGGTTTTTGTAGGTGTTTTTCCAATCTCTACGCAGAATTTTATCACTATTGACTGCTCCAACTATTCCGAAAACGTCCTTTTTTAACCATTCCGATCCTGTCTTGATATGTTTCAACTTTTGTTGCTCAGCAATTTTGAAACTTTGAACGTTAAAATTTTGCAGATTCAATGCGATAACTTCTGTCAACCTCAAAATGTAAAAGTCAGGCAGATTTCTGCAGAATTTTATAAAATACAAATGTAATTTATAAAAATAATGAATATTTTTTAATTAAAATTTTGCGGTACTCCGGGTCTCTATTCCAAGTTTTGTATGAAGCCATAATGATAATTATACATTTGAAATTGAATAAAATTTTACATTTTTTAATTCACATTAAATAAAGGATTAAAATATTTCTAATAATAAATATCAATGACAAGACTTTTATTTAATTTTTAGCCGGTCCAGGAACGTTACGGACAACCCTCGTACATTTAAGTACATAAGTTTCTACATTAAAAGAATTATACAATGCTTAGCCGTGAGCATTGAAAAGATTTCGCCCTTATTCAAGGGGATATGATTAAGATGAAAATTATTGAAAACATTAATATGTTCTTTGCAAAAAATCTTTTTTATTCAAACTTCAGGGTCCTATCTGCACAAGGAGAAAAAAAAAACTCATATCTAAGCTGAACTGAAGTACAATTAGTTTTTAAATCTATTTCATAAAGTAATACATTTTAAGGAAGTGCACATTTAGCTTCGTTTTGATCAAGTAAATTTGGAATGGCCACACTTTTGTTTCAATCGTTAAACTGTTTTGTTAATACTTTCGCAATATAGATATAAAAACTACAGGGTCGGTATAATTTGAGATAGAATTATATTGTTGTTTATTATCGTGTTTTCTGGTTACATTCCTTTGGTTATTTTTGTTTTCCCCAGACAAAAGCACATTTTTTAAAAATTGTAAACAAATATAACTTAACTAATATTATAAAACAATAAGGAAAACCTGGTATGAAAATATAAACATAATTATACCTTAAACTTAACTATTTTCAGGTTCAGCTTGATGATCCTAAGAAACAAGATGAGGGATCAACATTTTTTGATAACATTTATCGCTACCTCGATTCATGCCTGCTACGGATATAGTAAGTACATTAAATAGCACACGACTCATGCATGGAACTCGACTCCAAGGCAAGCTTGCATTAGCTTTTGTACCAAAAAAATTACACCAGAAATAATGACTTCATTACTACATGATTAGTTTTTTTGAAATGACTTATATACAATGATGCACTAAGGTATCACGTGGAAAAATATATTTTAAAATTAAACACCTTTATTTTGAAAAATGTATAATTCATGATTTTCCATTTTTAGAATTTTACGAAAGAAGTGGGCCTCAAATAAAATTTTAAGCACAGGGTTTCGTTGTTTAATTCATTTATTAAATCTTTTTTTTACTCCTAGGACAACTAGTTGATCCAGATACAACAAAAGCCATACAAAGTTCTACATTTGAACCTTATGGAGCAGACAGGACAATAGATGGGAAGCCATCTTTACTTTCAATTGGCAGTGGATCTTGTTCGCATACAGGACTGGCGCAGAAATCAGCATGGTTACAAATAAACCTCAAGAAAGTTTTCAATATAAAATACGTCAAATTTTGGTACCGTAATGACCGTAAGTATTTAGTTTCGATTGGCTCTCAGTATAAGAGCGTATGGATTTTAAGATTTTGGTACTGAAAAGACCTTATAATTTAGCACTTAAAGTATGACATTCATACCTTTCGCTATATATACATAATTGTACCATGAGTTACTCTTCAATAATGTTAGTTTCTTTTTGGTCAAGCTAGCTGCAGTGTGTCGTTCTCTATGTGTTACACAATTAAAAAAATATGATAAATCCACTTTTGTCAACAATGTTTCAAAATATGTGATTTATTTCAATTCATACGTTGTTTAAATAAGCTGATATTTCGATTTTTGTGCATTTTTAGTGATTTTAATCGCGCACTTAAGAAGCTATTTCAAATAAAACTAAATTGATATTCAATTTTAGCGATGAAATTTGTGGAGATAACGGACAAAATTCAAGCTGAAAGGTCCATTAAAAATTAAAAAAAAAATGGAGCAGAGCAAACACGGACCTCCAAAACATCAAAGGTGTGATCAGGTGCTATGGAGGAGAGAGAGCATCCCTTGCTTACTGGTCACACCCGCCGTGTGTTCCTTGTCATGATCATGAAATAACGGAAAAACCGAAGACAATTCAGGGTGTAAATAATGGAATTACAATAAGTATGAAAAACGCCAATCAGCGATCTTAGAACTCTCGTTAATAATGCTAAAATTAAATCCCTAAAATTCTTTTACGGTCTTCATAAATTTCAATATATTTCAACGCACGTCAAATTTTCCATGTGCGAGTGATTAAATCTGTACATATTAACTCTACGTAGTCTGCACACTTATGCAAGATAACTTGTGTTCTAAAATTAAGCACTGTACCATCTAGCGTTAACCTTTCTATAAACAGTTTCAAACCGTTGCAAATGTCTCAAATTGCAACAAAACTGCATGAATTCATATATATAGCGCATACTGTAAGTTAGCAATAGATAATCAAAATAAAATGTTACAGTGTTTCTCGAGATTACCCCTTAACGGACAATGGTTTAGAAAAACTTTTTATCAATGACTAAATAAGGGGATAAAGTTGATCATCTACTGGTACATGTGATTTTTGAAATTTGTCTCCTCAGTAAAATTTGAAATAGTTATCATTCTATGTTGGTTTAAAAAAAAACTATTACAAATGATAAAAAGAAATGTGAAGATAACAGTTCTGCAACCTATAAGCAAAACAAATACGTGCCATTTCATAATCCACCAGATTAACAATAAGTACGTTGAAAATTTAATGTAAAAATAAAGCCAAAACAATTTATATAAAAGATATCAATTATGTTTGACCTAACGACAGCGTTGCAATCAAATTTATTATGTTGACAATTTTATTTCGTAACATTTAACATGTAGATTTTTGAAAGCATTCATTTAAATCATCATTCTGGCAGTTGTCCGCCTTGAGTTTGAAATTCATTTCGAAGAATGGAATCACGTATAGAAACAAAGCACTAAATAATGAAGGAGTTAATTTTAAACTACAACATTATAAAGAAAATAAACTATAATAATTTAATTTTTTTTGTATTCTCAATTTTGTGTCAATTTTTATGTTAAAATTGGCTCAATTTCCTCCTGGACATTTAGAATATATTTACTATATTCGTATAATTCGTCGAAAGAATTCATAAAAATAATTAAATAGATATTTCAGAACAAACATAACACATTTCACTGCAAAAAACCAGCTTTGTGTGCAACCAGCATAGAAAAATAGGAATCTAAAATTACCAGTACTGTAGATATGGCAAGAGAGAAAAATTGATAATTTTCTTCTAAAAAAAACCTCCGCCACAAAATATAGTTCTTGGCTCAATCCTACTGGAATGAAATTCAATTGATGTGTTTGCAGTGAATATTGTTTGATTTGCATTGTAGAATCTAAATTCAATGTGAAAACTTAAAAATGATGCAGAATTTTAGAAATAAAGGTTCAAACCAAAATCGACTAAAAAGCACAGGTTTGAACTTCCTTTAACATGTTCCCTCTTTTTGCCCCTATAACTTTGCAGGGGTTGTTTTTTAACGACGAAAAATGACCCAAAGCCATAGAAAAAAAATTTGTAGAAAAAATACCTAGGGGTCGTTATTTTATATGTGTGACCTATAAAAAAAATTTAACCAGTTGAAAAATGACTCATTTTCCAACAGAGTGATACAAAATTTATAACAGGTGATTGAAGCCAAGATTTGAACCTAAATGCTTATTTTTTCTTTACGACCTTTTGACCAACATTGGACGAATGTGCATCTAAAATGCAATAAATCAGCATTAAAGTTACAAGCTAATTTCTATTTCAGCACATATTGAAAATCGCAAAATTTTTAACATTGGTTATAACTCATAATCTCTCTTAATGGCTGTCTTCCATTTTGTTTCATCGTTGGATGTTTGACTGGTTATAGACATTCATAGATAGCTAAATAAAAGACAAACAGGATGATCTACCTTTCCAATGGTAAATGTCTCGGAGAGTATTCAGCATGATTTTTCATGTATTTAGTTTTACAATTTAATGACTAAAGTTTTTAGGGAAATTATTAAAATTTGGATCAATTGTTCGGCCTTTGTTTTAATACTAAATTCCACAATCGTATACCTGCATTCATAAGGATCATGGCGGGTATGACGGGTCCAAAAGGGATGCATACTTTTTCTACGCATATGTGTTATATTTGTTGACAGGTTCATAAAAAGACCAATGCTGACTTTAAATGAGGTTGCTGAAACCCCTGTTACATCAAACAGGAGCCTGCCTAGATTATAAAAATTAATTTTGCACTCGGGTGTCGAAAAAGGTGAAATTATCCAGTTGTCAAACAATATAGTTGTTAGCTGGTCTTTACATATCGCCTATAGTCGTATATATCAGTAGAACGTTCCAAATACGAAACAGAAATGTCAATCATAAGAAGGAAAGAACATTTCTGTATGTCTGAAATATAAACAGTCGTATAATGTACATACAATTTAATTTTATTTATAAACAGTAGACATTGGGATTTTTTTCAAAGGTAATAAAGAAAAATTCCTGTAAAATGTACATTCAAGTCTATTAATATTTTCAAATTATCATTGAAGACAGAGCATTTAATTGACCTGCAAGGTTATTAATGTTCATTAAAAGTTTTGTAATTAAATTGTCTTCTTTACACAGTATAGTTAAAAAATCTCTTAATTAGGGGTAAAAATAAAACATAACATTCAGGAGTGGGATGGGTTGCCCCCCCCCCCCCCCTCTACTTTCATAAACGTAATTTTTTTTTCGTTTGAAAATGTTCATGGAAGTCTGGTTGCTCTAACTTTTTGATACAATAGAATAAAAGGAGCCCCCCTCCCCCTTCAATAAATTTTTTGATGGGTTCATAAAAAAATATTTTTATAGTAACTTGTCATGTTTGTTAAAATACGCCTGGCATTTACTAGGAATTTTTTTACATTCTCTTCGATTCTCTCACCGTGATTGGCTAACGCTAGCGCATTGTAAATAGCAAACTTGACATGTCTGCTTTTTCAGTATGTATAACGTAAAACGTTGATTCATTTGATAAAACAATCAGTGCTGTTTTTGCTGTTTTTCACCATCAAAAAACAATTTCTTCCCAAAAGAAACAATTCCTACTATTTTCTACTCCTCAAGATTCTGAATAATTGCATTGATCTTTAAAAAAAGCAATAATTGTATATAATGTAATGAGTTTAAAGAAAATCACCAGTTGATTCCCAATTTAGCTCAAGTGAGCATTCTGGCCCGAAGGTCCCCTTTTTTGTCCTCTACAAATTTCAACTTTGATCCACAAAGGGTCATTATTGTACGGGGGTTATTTTTCTTCACGTAGACTGGTCACGGTAGCCTAGTGGTGGAGCGTTCGCTTTGTGATCGGCAGGCCTGGGTTTGATTCTCGTTTGAGGCGCCGCGTCAAACCAAAGACGTAAACATAAGTTAATGACTGTTCCTTCGTCAATCGCTCGACATTAGAAGTGAAAGTCACAGGTCTTTTAGATATGGCCCCGTGTCATGGTAGGCGTTGGCACGATAAAGAACCCTGATCACTGCTCAATGGCTCTGAGTGCCGAGTAAATGTGTAAATTAGAAGTTCTTCACCGGCATACGGTGACGTCTCAATATGACTGAAAAATTCTCGAATGGGACGTTACACAATATAAAGTCAATCAATTTCTTCATGTGGAGTATGCTAATTTTTAAGGTGATGACACTTTTTCTAAGGGCAAAATGGTCACTTTTTAACGTTGAATAATGACCGGTAGTCATTTTTGGCCTAGAATAAAGACCGGGGGTCATTATTCTTTTGTGCCCATTATTCGTCTTTACACCGTCCGAGTAGGTCTGGTTTGCAAAAAATTGCTAGAAAACGCGTTAATTCGACGAATATACTGTAAGATTCAACCAGATTTGATCTTATTTCAAAGATTAACAGCTTCGGATATCTGAGAAAAGCCAGACTTAGGCGAGGATTTTTGCTATTAGTCAAAAATTGCCCTTAAGTGGAATCCGACATGGAGACTAGTTGTTATGTTTATAGCAAGCGCAGTGAGTGTCGGGAAGCAATGCTCGTCACAGCAAACTCTAAAGCAACGCCTGTGTGAAAAGAAAATTCGGACTATCAAACGATTTTTTTCATAATTTAAGAGGTTACTGTAATGTTTAAAACATCTTATACAGAATAATTTCTTATATTGTAGCTATGCTGTAAATTGAACACATCTTTCAGGTCTCAGTGAACTTGAAAACACCATACGGTTACATGGCTATATTCTACAATATTATAACAAAAAATGGATAACGTGTTACCAAGATAGTACTCCATCCAGTCAGCCAATATCCATGCCATCTATAGTGGAGTGTCATCACCAGACTCAATACATAGTGTTTTATACAAATACACCAAGTCCCTATGACAGAGGGTTTGTCTTTTTGGAGATATGTGAAGTCGAAGTGTATGGTAATGAAAACATTACACAAAGAAGAAAAGAAAAGAAATACATTTTTTAATCAACGTGAGCTTTTTTGATCGAAAATTTTCCACGTCTTTAGTTCTTGTTGTCATTGTAGTCATCGTGGTCCAAAACCACTGAGGCAATTTCAACCAATTACTGCACAGAGTATCTTTTGGTAAAGGGAATCCAAGTATGTTTAAAAGAAGGGACATGCCCTTTTTCTAGCGGAGATGATTATGAAATACTTTAAACTTAGTAGCATCATTGAAAAAATCTCAAGAAATATTGGGCCAAAAAATATCATACATATGAAGGAGTCTCTCGAGGTAGAGTAGATTCACATTTGTTCAAATCATGCCCCTAGGATCAGGGTGGTCTACAATGAATAGTTTCTTTCATAGTAAAACAGGATTAAAAATCTTTTCCAAAACAGCTGATTGTTCATATTTATATGGAAGTATACGTAATTAAGTAGTTCAAATTCAAATTTGTTCAAATTCTGCCCTCTGGCGATATGGACACTAAAGAAAAAAAACCTTATTAAAAATCTCCTTTCAAAAACAACAAGTCATAATTTATCCTTTTGGAAGCAGGAAATGAAGATTCAAATTTGTTCAAATCATGACACAAAGGCAGTTAGATTGTGTCACAAAAGGTGATCAAAATTTTGCAAAGGAATATATAGGACAATCTGTGCAAACCTTCTCAACACCATGAAAGCAGTTATTGGTCATATGGTAGCATTTAAGTTTGTTAAAATCCTGATCCCAATGAGTAGGGGAGGAAGCCAGAATTAGGATCCAAAGTTTTATGTTAGATTACATATGAAATATATAAAAAAATCTTTATAAAAACAGCTCAACCATGAAAGGCAAAATATTTAGTTTAGGATGTGCGGAATAAATTTTTTTCTAACCATGGCCTTTGGGGAGGTCTGGGCAACAATGGGCGATCGAAGTTTTAAATAGGAATATTTAAACAAAATCTTCTAAAGCACAGCAAAGCTTTAATTTGTCATAATTATGTGGAAGCATAATTGGAAAGTCGAGATTCAAATTTATTTGAATCATTTCCACAGGGGGTTCGGATGGGTCAACATAGAAAGGTCGAGGTTTTATATGGGGTTTAGAATATTTAATACATATTTTGTGCCAGCACCTACTGTGACAGGGGACGTCGATTTATACAGTCTAATCCAAAAGACTTGTCTCCACGTCCCGCAGTGGCTTCAAAACCGTAACAAAAGGATCAATTATCTATTCCACGACTCTGGAGCAGACGTTCAAACCACTGTTCCTAGCTGGTGAAGCAAAAACGTATTTAGATATTTTAAAAATCAATGTAGATCTCAGTATGAATAGAGCATGAGGGGGTATTTTAGACAACTTATATTTGATCTTGTAATTACCGAAGTGATGTTTTTCTAGCGATACAGTGTGTTCATGTAAACCATGCGCCTTTTGATCTTTAAAAATACTAGTAGTTTGCTGCTTAAATGATTAATTTTTTCAAAACAATAGTTATCCTTTCCCGAATTATAATTCTGATCAAGATAATTAACTTTGTATATTATCCTTTGATCTTATAGATATAATATATATTTGTCTCATTTTTGGTATTTATTTCGAAGGTTGTGAAAAAAATCAATACGGAGAAAACTGCACGGAATGCGGAGAGCGGTGTGTGGATTGTCATATTGTGGACGGATGTGTGAAGTGTCAATCTGGATTCACCGGCAGAAACTGTGAGGACTGTGAACTAGGCTATTCCGGACGAAATTGTAGTAAGGTTTTCCCTTTTATTCATTTGAGTAAAATATTATAAACGGTCCAAAAGCCGTTAGAAAAAGGGAAGTCGTTTTCAATTAATTTCATAATTCAATGTTTGTTTTGATATACTGGTATCTGCATTTAAAAAATCTCGGACAGATTTAAACACCTAATATTTACATGTATTTTGGATATGAAATGTTCTTTTAGATTAATTCTTTAGATGAATAAAAAGATCTTATGTTTTGCTTTATGTATTGGTAATTTTAATTTTTTAAAGTCAGAAATGGACTTTTGCAAGAAGCACTGACTTTGACAGTTGACGATTTACTTGGACATGCAAATCTGTATAGTACACGGAGTTACAGAATTGATAATAGATCAGAAACCTTTTTTTAATGGTCACAGTTATGTGTTAGGGGCACTTACTTGTGAAGGCCGGGAGTTGATGGTAGGGAGTTTGTCGTTTTCTTCAAGGAGAACTTATATGTATTTTGAAATAACCCGCTATTTTCGTTGAATTAGATGTTTAGCTAAATATATAATCGTAAAGTAGCACCCATACAATGCCGTAGTGTAAAAGTAACCCGTCAATTTCAAAAATCAGAGCTCTATTCAAAAGTCCAATAATGTCAAAAATGGTCTCAAAAATGTTCAAAATGTTTTTGAATTATTCGGGGAATGAAGTTGAAATCTTTATCTTCAGCATCCAGAGACTAATTGAAATACAAAACCAAAATATACCCATTTATACTTACTTTATAAAATAATGACATTTTTCATAAATATGAATATGATTTATATAATCAACATGACTCTAAGCATATACGTAAGACATGTATTTTATGACCTAAACTGTTTTGCATGCAGTATTAAGGACATACGCAACGTACCTTTTTATATATCTACTGATAATTTTTCAAGATATTTTTAATTTTCAGATAATAGCGCCATCAGATGTTCATAGGCAAAAAATCAGCATGCTTTACCAGGGGTTTAAAAATATATCAATTCTTGTATAATTCAAATAAAAATATATTAAAAATACTAAACATATATTCTACATTTACAGCGTAGGTGTTTTGTTGATCCAAACTTGTTTTAAAAGTTGTGCACAACAGTATATATAATTATACATGTATACACTAAAATGTAGCAAACAGTTCTTTTATGTATTGCAAGTCTGCAACGCAATTGAAAAAGACAATAAAATTGTCTTGCAATGATTTTTTTTTTTTATGTTTTCTTATCTTTTTTCTAACTGAAATGCAATTTTCAGAGCCCTGTCTGACGGGATGGTATGGTTATAATTGTTCCCAGTCGTGCAGTGTAAATTGTTTGGAGTCAGGAAACTGTGACAAAGTTACCGGAAGCTGTCTCAGTGGATGTGTGTCTGGATACAGGGGAGATAAGTGTTTACAGCGTAAGAAAATCACATGACTCTGAATCTTTTATATGAAGTATTTTTGACCTAAAACTTTGCTCTTTCAAGACGGAATATACTGAATCATACAAAAGTAGATTACATTTTGTTATTTAGTTAATTTTAATACATTTTTTCTTAGCATGTTTATATATGTTTATATGCTTTATTTCAGCTTGTGAGAATGGAACATATGGTTTGAAATGTCAAGAACAGTGTAGTGAGTATTGTTTAGGGAATGAAGTTTGTGATAATGTAAATGGAAGCTGTATTAGAGGCTGCGAAAAGGGATACGAAGGAAACCGGTGTTTTAATGGTTTGTATGAGCAATAGATATTTCTAATAATAGTTCCAATAAAAATTAGTCAAATAAAATTTGTTAACGCACATACATTTAAGTCATACTTTTGTAAACATTTTCCGATGCTAATATAGATTAAATGATAGGTGGGCATTATGTTTCATTGACAGCTTGTAAAATTGGAACGTATGGAGAAAACTGTAAATACAACTGCAGCGGCCATTGTTATTTAGATGAGCCATGTGACAGATTTAATGGCTCATGTCCAGCCGGATGTGACGTCGGATGGTCAGGATTTACCTGTGGAAAACGTATAGCATGCATTGTTTTAAGAAATAATCTTTAATTTATAGATTAATACAATAAATGTGTCAGGATCTTTGTGTAAAACGTGTACAACGCCATGTATTAATACATAATAAATTATTATGTATTAATTTTAATAATAAATGTACAGATACAGTTGCAAAATTGGAAATCAATTTAAGATTACAAATATACACTTTCTTACAACCTTTACTTACAACTTTGGTATTTTTAAAAAAAATTGTTAAAATGTTTCATACATTTGTTTTTAGAATGTCAGCAGGGTAGATATGGATTCCAGTGCAATAATTCATGTACCACATGTAAGGATATGACGTGTAATCATGTTAACGGGTCATGCTCTCTTGGTTGTATCGACGGCTGGACGGGTGCCTTATGTGCTGAAGGTGCGTACAGCAAAATAATTTTTATCAACGTGTGAGAAACGTCTGCGAGTTTCACTACATGTACATATGTTACTTCGCAAATATTAATCGAATTACTTATTTTGCTTTGCATCGTACAAGTGAAAATTTTAGCGAGACGCAAATTTAGTGATTTCTCCATAAAAATAGGATTTTTTTTCATCGATTTTAAAATGCTCACTAAAAAAAGCAGTTACAAATAAATTGCAATTAAAATTTAGTGATATTGAATTTTGGCAATCTCAGCACCCTCGTTTATAATGCCAAAATTAAACTCTCGCTAAAATTCTACTAATAGGTATTTGTTGACAATATGTCCTCAGTCGCGAAAATAAATCGTACTGATTTCAAACTGACGCCTCGGGAAAAAGAGATGACGCGAATAGTAGTTGGTTTATGTTAATAAATTGTACTTTCATAAAATGGTTTCATTCGATGCTGATCAGGAAATTAAATTTACGTAAAACTTCACTTTTGTCTACAGTGTGTCCCGGTGGTTTCTTCGGTCCTAACTGTTCTAGTCGATGTGGAAATTGTGAAAATGAAACCTGTCACCATGTGAACGGAATGTGTCCTGGCAACTGTAAAGAAGGATGGAAAGGAGAGAAATGTTTACAAGGTTCAATGCTCATCCGTGACTTAAGTCTTTTATGTCAATCATTCTGGAATATGAATTTTTTAGAATTAAAAGAAGAAAAACAGTCAGTAATAACTTTTACAAACTGTAAAATTTGGGAAAATATGACAGATTTTAATATATATTAGTTGAACTATTTTTTTTTCAGTAATAAGTTGTTGGTTCTGAAACGTAGTCATTTTTGTCTGTTAAAACTGAAGCTTGGCACTTATAAGTCGCTAACTGACCTGTTTTTCCTGCAGTGTCTGCCTTGATAACCGATGAGGACACCCCGGGTACCCCTCTCAGTATGCCTGTAGTGGCTGGTGCGGCTTTGGGTGTAATGGTGGCTCTAATACTTATAATTATTGTCATAGTGATCAGGTAACGATATGCACTGTGTAATTTACAAAGTCTCCTTCTCTTTTTACCCCTTACCTTTCGTTCAGTTATTTTGAAGTTAAATAACATAAATTTGGGAAAAGGAAACAAACAGTTGTTTTTTTTGTATTTGGGAAAATCTTAAATCATTTTTCCATTAGGAATGTGCTAAACGTATGTTCTGTATTTCATTTTTTTCTTAAGGGGTGCCATTGTTTAAAAAGAATGCACTTTTTGTATTACAAAAAAAATTAATTGTAATTTAGGGTTCGAAGGAGACATAAACCATTAACAAAACCTGAGAGTAAATGGCATCAAAAGTTAGAAGGTAAATTAGTAGTAAAGTTATTTTATCAAGCTCTACAATCTAGACCGATAATTTTCTATTTTTAAGTATAGGACCTTAAAACAAAACATAATCTTCCTTATTAATTGTCTCCTTGAGTATATCACGTAAATTATTTATCTTTTGAATACACTACATTATTTGCTTGACAAAGATTTCTTTTAAGCTGGCATGTTCTCATTTGATTCAGATCAGACAAATATGGACCCACTTGATAATAAAACAAGTCCCACAGGGATGAATGGACAGATTGATGGAGCGGATGAATCAACTTATTATAATATTGAGACAACAGAGACAACAAGAAAAACCCATGTGGACACTTCAATTAACATTCCGATTGCAAACTTAGCAAATGTTATTGCTTTGAAGATGAAAAAGGAGTGCAGTGATTTCAAAAAGGAGTATGGGGTAAAAAGAATGCACCTATTTTTTAAATTCTTTATTAGTATGCTTATTTTAAATAGTACTCTTCAATATTGTTCTAATAAATTGCTGTTTTGGCAGATTTTTAACGCAAAGTAAAGAAATATTAATTATTTTGGATGACGCTAGGCAATTCAACTATAAGGAAAGATTTTGCCATTCATTTTCCTCAAACAAGACCTTCTGCAATTTCCTCAGCAATACTTTTACCTTCATTTAAAATGTTTTATTACGTGTAGTTCTTTGGCCATACCTTCTGTATTTTATACATACATGAATATTTTAATGTTTTGTTTCAGGATATCCCGTATGGTGAAGAGACTCATATACCTTGTACAGTTGGAAAACTTCCAGAAAATAAGGCCAAAAATAGATTCAAGACAACATTTCCATGTATGTCACTCATGTGCAAAATTAAAGAAAATATATGTCTACATAGATTTTATATAACTTTAAGTTTGTCTTTTTGAGGAAGGGGAAAGCTTGGCTGAAATGTGACATTAAAGTCAAACAAGAAAAACATATAAATGGATGTTAAATATTGCTTCGACTCATATAATACTTTCTCTTCTTTTGTTTTCTGTTCACTGTTCAAATAAATTCAAATTTGATGTAATTAAAGTTGACTAAAGGGATATTGTAATTGTCCTACAGTTATTTTATAATTAATTAAAGACTTATTCCTCTCTACTGTCTAGCTGAGGCTGTTGACCTTTTATATTTCTGACCCAATGATATTTTGTAGAAAGACTCTCTTTTTTATCAATATCAAGTGGCACAAAGCAAATGAATTTGCCCTATAAAACATAATTTACTTACAAATGCTATAAATCCTTATAATTATGGTGCTGTTTTATTTCTGTCTTTGATATTTCTTTAACTGTTTGTACTTCCCTAGGTCTATGTGAAATAATTCAGTGTGCTTAAGTAACATTTCTTTTGATTCATTTTATACAGATGACCATTCTCGGATTGTCCTTGAAAATACAGAGAGTGACTATATCAATGCAAATTATATAAAGGTAAGTATTTTCACAACCTGACATCTTAATCTTTTTTAATTTAACTTGGATAGGAAATGAATTTCTATATATGAGTTCCCCAATCAAAGTTAAGCTATGTAAAACATACAAAAAACTGTAGACAAAACAAATTTCTGTTTGTTTGAAAGTTCATTCGAAAAATTCCACTCATATTATGATGTCAACACCTGTCGATGGAGGGCTGCTAATTTACACCTGTGCTTGGCACTTACGGTCTTTGAGCAGTGTGGTATTTTTTGTGATAGTACCTACTGCGAAAGGGGGCTTTAATATGGTCTCATTTGAAGGACTAGACTAAGTGTCACAATGCAGGTTCAAACCCACAATATAAGGATCATTACCCAACTCTTTACAGGCGATTTTAGATTAAAAAAATAAAAACAAAGTTAAAAATAATTTAAAATGGATATCTTTAGATAAAAATTAATTTTTTTTGTCAGAATATGAAAGAAGAAAGAGTATATATCGCATCACAAGGTAAATCAGAGTGTACAGTAAAGCCTTAATTGAAAATAAATGTTACAACAAATTTGGTACACAAAAAAATAAACAAGTAAATATAATTCAGAGGCACAATTTCTCTTAACTATGAATAGTTCAGTAATTGTCACTTTACTTCTCAATTCTTTATGTCCTTTCAATTTAGCAATGGCTCTTTATTTCAAACATATCACTTTACATTTTCAATGTGTCATAAGAAAAAATTATATAATTACATAAAGGTTTTTATTACCGGTATTTACTTTTGTTTTTGATAATTTTTAATTTTAATAATTGCTGATTATCACAAGATATGCGAAATATATAGAAGGAAAAAAATATTTAAAAAAAAAACAAAAAAAATCACGTGGATAAAATGCAGTAAGGAACCTTTTCTTTTATGAATGACTTTTCTTTTATGAAAGACTTAAATTCACATTATATTAATGAAACACTTTTACTAGGACCTAAACCTAACACTATGGCTGATCACTGGAAGATGGTTTGGCAAGAGAAAGTTTCCGTTATTGTTATGTTGACTAACCTTATAGAAGGAATGAAGGTAAGAAAATTGATTGATTGTATATTGTATGTTTTACGTCCCATTAGAGAATATTTCACCTTTATAGAGACGTCACCATATATCGGTGGAGGACTTCAAATTTTGACCTTTACTTGGCACTTACAGCCATTGATCAGTGAAGGATTTTTATCGTGCCAACGTCTGCCATGATAAGGGGCTTCGGTTTTTTAGGGTCTTATTTAAAGGACCCGCAACTTTTACTTCAAGGTGCCGAGAGCATGGCGAAGAAACATTTCCACCCATTTTTATCAACTTAGGTCTCTCGCGGCCGAAATTCGAACTCACGACCTTTCGCATACGGAGCGAGAGCTCTGCCGTGAGGGTAAAAACATGTGGGTCCATTCTCAGAAATACCTCTGGCTAACAGTTTCGTATCCTGTACATATATATACATGAAAGTAAATATGAAGATCTGGTTTCGTTATTCATATATGCCAAACATATACAGATAAAATTAATTTGTTTTGTCTTCTTACATTTTAATGTATACAAATATTCGACTCTTGAGACAATTTTAGTATATACCTTAACTTGAAAAAATAAATTTGTTTTTTAGATTACTTATTTTATTATATAAATTTGATACTAAAGCTTGAAAATGTTGAAGAGTTTAACTGATTTTATTTTTTCTTATTCCATTTTCATATATATTAAACTTTTTTTAAATGAGAAAATGTTCTCCAGACATGAGCACTCTTATTTTTATACCAAAATGCTCATAATATTGAAGAATAGTAAACATTTAATTTGATAAATGTCAAATCCTAATCTTTTTTAAACATGATCTACAGGATATTTCCATTGTTTCTTTTCCATTGTTTTCAGAAAAAATGCGAGAAGTATTGGCCTGATTTAGACATTGAAATGATGTCTGGAAAATTTAAACTTCAACTTTTACAGGAGAAAACATATGCATACTATGTCGTCAGAAGAATAAAAGTCACTAATTTAGAGGTAAATCTATATTAAGTTTTTTTCTCTTTCGCAATTAGCTTGCATTTTGTAAAACTAGTGTGAATCAAAATAGTATTTTTTCAAATATCATTGCTTACTCAAAATAATTAATGACACAGCTTGTTTCTCAAGTCTCTCCTTAATCTGTTACTTGATATATCTTTAAAACAAATAAGTGTAGGGGATGAAGCAGTGCTTCGTTACACCCATAACTTCTACGGATATAATGATCTTCCTGTTTGTTTCTAGAGGAGCAGAATTGAAATAAACTGATGATTCATTTCTTTAGATAACAGACTAAATGACACATTTTTAATCTAAAAACTGCGTATATAATATAAGTAAACTAGGTCATCATAAAGGACTATTAAGTGCCATGCATTGATTGAGAAATGTTTACTTATATTCGGGATTAATGAATTGGTCATTTTGAGGTATGATGAAAGATTTAAATTTTGCAGTGGTTTGCCATTCTCATTTTCCTTTCGACATATTTCAACAAAAGATTTTATTACTAAAAATTTATTCCTTTATCCCCCTTCTTAAATAAGGGTTATATACATTTTCACCTATCAGTTGGTGCATAGGTTGACCAATGTCTATGGAGATCAAAAGACCAATTGTTGTCTGCGAACAACATCTTCAGAAGGTTGGCTTCTCTTTTGTTCACTAGAAGTATGAAAAGGTTGCTGTCTGTCTTCAAAATACTTTTAAAAGCAGGTATCAAAGTAGCACTCTTATAGCTTCAAACAGTGGACCTATTGATTTTTAGGTTTTAGGGTCCAAAGTCAAGGACCAACTTTTCTGGAATGAGATATCTTATTTATCCTTTCCTTAAATACCAGTATATATTGATACCTATAGAAATTAGATGATCCTATTGCTTTTGAGGTCAAATGTCAATATCTGATAGAGTTCTCAATTGTTTTTTCTAATAAATACCATATGTTAAAAATACCTTTCAAAAATAAGAAATTATATTCGAAATGTTTTTTCTTATAATACTTTATTACTAAGTTATTGTCATAATAACGAGTTACATTATATCAACAGTTAAAATCAATTACTTCATGTATCGTGACCCAGTTTCATTTACATACTAGTGTACTGTCATAATAACGCTATTTTTATCAACAGTTAAAATCACCTACTTCCGTTATCGTGACCCAGTTTCACTACACCCAGTGGCCCGACCATGGCGTGCCTGATCCACTAAGTTTGGCAATCTTCCAAAAACATGTGAGGCGGATCCAAAACGAACATAAAAACAACCCACTTCTCGTTCACTGCAGGTTAATATATTCATAAGGCAAAAACGTAAGAGCTTTAAAGGATACAAATCAGGAACTGAATAAGGAACAGTCTTCCATCGTGTGCTTGTGGCGTCGTCTGTACTGTGCTCCCTTTTTTTAATATAGCTTCATTTTTAATCGCTTTTTTTATTTTTTAGAGAATGTAATGGTTTTTCTGTCCCTTACTCACATTGTTGCACTGTTAAAAAATAATATACAAGATTTATAACAGAATGTTGAAATATATAATAAATGAGGATGATTGAAATTGACATGGGAGGCCTGGTTAACATTTAATCTTTAACACTGCATTTATAAAATATAAAAAATTATATTTACAGATTTATTTCCACATATGAATATAAATATAAGGAATTACAGTCTAGCTTGTTGCTGTTTCATTTACATCATAGTCTCCAGCTATCATTGATGCCTTTGCATTCTCAACACGCGAAGACAGTGATTCCAAAAGTAACCTTGCATAAAGTGTTGGAGATTTTCTTTAATGTGTAACTGCTTTTTTATCATCAGTGCCGGGATAGGGAGGACTGGCACATTTATAGCACTGGATGCTCTGTATCAGCACGGCCTGGAGACGGGGTCTGTCAATGTACAGGGATACGTCAAAAAGATGAGGGAGGACAGAATGAGTATGGTCCAGAACTGTGTACGTATCCAATCAAGAATTTGGTATTATTTCATCAATAAACATATATATATATAATATATATATATTCTTTATATACTGAAATCTTTAACAATCTACATCGAAAAGTATAATCTTCATTCCAAGTCGTAGGTATCATTTAGTATGATAATAGGGAAAAAATTAGATGCTGTCGACAATCTTTTTTTTTTTTTTTTTTATCTATGATTAACTATACAAAGGTTGAAATTCTTGGTCAGTTTGATAACTTATAATATTCATACCTTTTTTGTGTATAACTAACGTAAAATGGAATGGAATAGTTCTGAAATTATTATTTTAAAACAGAATACATGTATATTGTTGAGTTTGTTGATTTTTTTTCTTAAGATATGTTTAAAGCTTTGATTTTAACAATTATTACTAAGTCTAGAGAATCATTTTAGGAGCAATACATAGAACTGTATAATGCTCTCCTGGAGTCATTTAAAGGTGAAAGTTACGTTATTTCCAAGGACGCCTTTTTGAATGACATCAGAAAAATAAGTAATGCAACAGAGTCCAATCCCAGCTGGATACAGTCACAATTTGAGGTGGGCAACTGAAAATACAGTTTGTAGATAATTTTATGATAAAATTAAGTGATAAAAATATTACGTATGGCAAAATCTGAACCAATTAAATTTTTGATCGACAAAAATAGATTAATTGTTTATACATCTAAAACTACTGCACTGAAAAGAATGCCTCAAAAGACATTATTTATGCTGATTGAAAATATGAAAAGTATTTATTTGTTGAATTTGAGTGAAATATTACACCTTATCTAAGTATTAAGGATATGGTTCTTTTGTTTTTAACTTGAAAGTGTTTACTAAATATTAACTGTGTCAATATTAAATTAATGTTTCTGAACTAATTTTAGAAGCTACAGACAATCAAGAAATCATACACTGATGATAATAAGAAAGAGGGGTCAAGACACAAGGAGCTCAATATGACAAGGAATATAATGCCAGGTAATTTCGGATTTTAAACTTAAAAGGTTTCTTTAAATGTAAATTACAAACGCACCTGGCGCTCTTATTAACATATTAACCTTTTATTTCACGAACTTATTATAGAAAAGGTTCTCAAATTGTTTGACTGATGCTTTCTATTACCAATCGATGGTGAAAATGTGCACAGAAATTTGAAAAAAATGACATATTTTCTGACTTTCCTTTGACATCTGAGTATCCTTTGATTGATTTACTAACATAACCTACAATGAAATTGTAAACAAAAGAAAACAAAACAAATTTAAATCTAGCAAAACATGATACATTGACGTTTTATTTTTTGTTCAGTTTTCCTTGATTGGGGAAGTAAACAGCTATTCTGATTAAACTTATTCGGACACATCAGCCGATAGTTTGTTTGACATTTTGATTTTTAAAATATCTATTATCCTGATTCTTTTGAAAATCATGTCCTTCTTTCAGTGGATAAATACCGGGCAATACTCACGTCAAATATATCGGGAAGAAGTAACTATTACAATGCAGTGTTTTTGTCAGTGAGTGGAAAATAAGCTGTTTACATCATTTTAAAAAAATCAATAATTACTTCGTTCATTATATTATATGATACTTTCATAACCATTGAAAAAACTCTTTAAGATTCTTATTTTTTCTTTAAATAAAATGTAATTTTTCAAGTTTATTTACATATAGCTTTTACACTTCTTTATCTTACTATAGACATTTACAACTTTATATATTGTTTTTCCATACTCTTTTATTAAAGACCTTTACGGATAAGGATGTACTAATTGCCGGCCAGTACCCCCTATCTGGTAATTCTATAGACCTGGTTCGTCTTCTGCTAGATCATGAGTCCAGCATTCTCGTCTATGTCAATCGTCTTTCAGATGTTCCATCGGTAAGATATAAACAAGAATTAAAAAAAAAACTTAGGAACTAGGAATTACTGGAGAGGAAGTTTTTCTCAGAATCTAATTATTTAACTGTGTTGTCACTAAATCTTAATTTTTTTAACAGACGCTTTGTTCATATAGATATTTGAAAAAAAACGGAAAAACAAAAACAGCAACTTTAATTTCGAATCATTTTGATATTTTTTTTTACTCATTAATACACATTTGATTAAAGATGAACATTTCTCATAAATAGGCACCGTCAGACAGATATATAAACCCTTTGATTTCGTTACACCCGATTGCATGGCCGATATGTAGTATTCCTACCGTGGTCTTAATTTTTTTTGCGTTTATTCTTTTTTATTACACACTTAGTAATAAATACAGGTTTTTTTGCAAATGCAATATCTAAATTTTTTGCGTTTTTTGGCTGATAATTATATCAGCCCTGAACATTTTCTGTAAATTGTAAAACAGAACTTGTGATTACACAATGTTATTTTAACTCTTTGAAAATAAGGTTAATCTTAATTTACAAATACATGTAATAGATTATTTTCAAATAACGGATCGAGTGCATTGAAATAGTAAAAACAAACCCAAATTGTATGAGACAATAGACCATGTACATGTAAGAAAAAAGTCCATGCATGATTAAAAAAAAATGCTGTATTTTAAAATTGTAATAAACATATTAATACATTCCCTTTTCCACATCACATCCTGTATCAGGTCTCAACCAATATCACGGCAATGTAAGATATGGTGCATTCTCTATTTATATGGGTTTTCTGTTTGTAAATTATGTATTGACTTGTATTTTTCATGAAACTGTTATCTTGTTTTGGAAATAATGCGTAAAATTTGATAATGTCGATGCAACCGAGATCTGATGCACTCGTTATATTAGGGAAATTGTAGTGTTAACGGAAGCTACTCCTTATGTAAGGGTTGTAGGGGAAAGCTGGGAAATATGGCGGACTATGCCTTTTTATGAGTAGTGTTTAGCTTTTGGAAGAAAAAATATTGGGACAAACATATACGTTATTTATCCGCATGAAAGGTGTTTGGAGATATTCTTCAGTTTGTACACGCTTAGCAAATAATGTAGTGCTTAAATAAAATCCCTTGCAATGCTTAAATCCAAAAGACAGAATCATTTTATGTTTTCTGAATGTAAAGGACCCAATACTAAAAATTTCATCTCAAAAATAATGTTTACGTATTTTGTATTTGAAAATACATTACTAACATTGTTGATTTTTTTTCATATATTTAAACTAAATCTCTTTTACAGTCTGATGAATGGTTCCCAGACAAGAAAAAAAATTTACACCCTTACGAGTTAATCAAGGAAAAGACTTCCAGTGTGTCTCAGACCATTCGAAAACACGATCTTAAAATTCGTCATTTAGATGTAAGCTTAAATGGCATTTTAAGATTAAACTTTGAATTGATTAATTGGATATATCTCTTCTCCGTGGAAAGCTTGCATTGAAATTATTCTCTTATATGCTCATTACTAGGATAATGCCTTGCATCCAATCAGTCTCTTTGAAATCTTGTCCTGGACAATTAAAGATACTTTGCCAACTGACGCCAATACCATGACTGACGTCATAAGAAATGTTCAAATGGAGGTTGCCAGTCAGTCTACTAAGACTCCCATCACTATTTTGTCCAAGTATGTATTTTTTATTCAAAACTGTAACAAACATGTACTGAGTTGCTCAAAGGTATAAAATTAGATAATGTCAAAACCTTGTTCATCTTGAACTTAATGTGTTAAAAGCAAAATGAGAGAATGCAATAGAGACGTTCAACAAATAATTACATGTACTGTAAAATGAGGGAAAGAAAGGTTTTAAATGCTGTATAATTTTCTTATATACTGTTGATTGACAAATAATCACGATGGTTTGATTTCGCTGTGTTCGCGATTTATAATTTTTCCGTGAAATTAAACCCATCGTAGTTGTTATTATTTGTTTTTAAATCGTTGAAATGCTTATATGAAATTTTGAATTAATTTTTTGCAGCGTGAAATTAAAACCATCGCAAATGGTACTTTTTGAGATGTCGTTAACTTTTACACCGTGGAATTAAAACGACTTACCGTATAACATATTGTCAATCCACATACCAAAGAGACAGTTTTAATAACCTTTACCAGTGTAATTTGTGCTTAAAGATTGTTTTTTTTTTTACATTTTGGTTTTTTCGTACCTGGAAATTCTATTATCTTTTTTTATATTTGTTTTTACCAAGTTTCTATTTGTATTTTTAAAATAAAGTTTAACTAAACCATTTCAGGGATGGAGCAACTGGTTGTGGGGTGTTTTGTTGCATTTATAATGCTGTGCAACAGCTTCAGCAGGATGATGAGGTCGATTTGTTCACGATCGTTAGACAGCTTCAGATACGGCGACCAGAAATGATCTCTACCGTGGTTAGTTCTCTAAAGATTCTCTTAATTTGAAAAGAAGATATCGGAAAATCTTTTTTATGCTCAGATCATTTAAAATCAAGTGCTTTTCTGATTTCTATTTTGTCTGTTGTCCCTGATAACATGTATATTTGTATGTTTGTTTCTTATATGCCATAGTACGCTTTAGAAAAAAAGACATTTAACCTACGGAAAGGCATTCTTATGTAGAATGTCTTTTGTTTACTCAGAATTACATATATATCCTAGTTTTACGGTAAACGTTGGAAGTTTAGCAAGGTAATAATTTCTACGAGGTATCAAGGTAATATTTGGGCATGCGCAATCAGTAAGATATTTTTGGTTCAACAATACTTTGTTTACAATAACCAATGTTTGAAAAAAAACCCACATCTTTTAAAACATTCACTCATTTTACTTTATAACTGTATATCTAAAATATATACATTAAACAAGTTGATAAAACAAGAATATCAACAATCTTGTTTAAAGTCATCATTTCGTAAGGTTTGTGGTCAATACAATGACCTTGTCAGCAAATGCAATTTATCATTGAGTCAAATGCTTACTTACGTTTTTCATATTTATTGTTAGTCCATTAACATACACTGAATTGACGACAGATTTTTCCGTTATTTCCCGATCTTGACAAGGAGCACACAGCAGGTGTGACCAGTCGACAGGAGATGATCACTTCTCCATGGCACCTGATCCCACCCCCAATGACTTTGAGGTCCGACTTGTATAGTTTTATGGACTTTTGATCTTGAATACTGTTCCTTATCGCCATATATTTCATCGTTATAGTTTGTTTCTTGAAGTCTTGCATGAATATGATAATAAATCAAAATTTTACGAAAAATATTGTCACGGAAGTTAATCGTTATGGAAGATGATTTCCTGCAATAAAAGTTAAAAATTTCGGCAATAATTGAAGTCGACCTTTGTTTTAGGATGTAAAACAAAAGTATACAGCATTTTGCTCCTAAAATACTAATTTTTTTTATATCTTTCATTTAATGAAAAAGCTTTCATAAATTTCAGTGAAGCAAGTTAAATATTTCAGAGACAACTGCTTTTTTTAAAAAAAAATCATTTTGCTATACTATTATATAGAATGTAATGTCCTAAAATAGCTGACTCGCAACACTTGAATCGATGATATAAGGTTCCATGATCATTTTTAGATTAGTTTTCATCTCCATTTTGTGCGTGAAATTTAAAAACAGGATATTTATGGACGTTCTTTGATTTTAGCGACATACTCTAACTCGCGGGAAAGATGATTCATGCATTTCTTTACGAGAAGTGGGTTGTTTTGTTTTCATTTTTTTAGCTCACCTGAGCCGAACGCTCAAATGAGCTTTTCTGATCAAAATTTGTCTGTTGTCTGTCGTCGTTGTTGTCGTTGTCGTTGTTGTCGTCATAAACTTTTCACATTTTCATCTTCTTCTCAAGAACCACTAGGCCAATTTCAACCAAACTTGGTACAAAGTATCCTTGGGTGAAGGGGATTCAAGTTTGTTCAAATAAAGGGCCAGACCCTTTTCCAAGGGTAGATAATTATGAATTAGAGAAAAATTAATGCCATTTTTAAAAAATCTTCTTCTCAAGAACCATTGGGCCAGGAAAGATGAAACTCATGTGGAATCATCCTCAGGTAGTGTAGATTCAAGTTTGTTCAAATCATGACCCCCGGGGGAAGGGTGGGGCCAAAATGGCCGATCAAAGTTTTACATAGGAATATATAGGAAAAATCTTTAAAAATCTTCTTCTCAATAACCACTGGGCCAGGAAAGATGAAACTCATGTGGAATCATCCTCAGGTAGTGTAGATTTAAGTTTGTTCAAATCATGACCCCCGGGGGTAGGGTGGGGCCAAAATGGCCGATCAAAGTTTTACATAGGAATATATAGGAAAAATCTTTAAAAATCTTCTTCTCAAGAACCACTGGGCCAGGAAAGATGAAACTCATGTGGAATCATCCTCAGGTAGTCTAGTGTAGATTCAAGTTTGTTCAAATCATGACCCCCGGAGGTAGGGTGGGGCCAAAATGGCCGATCAAAGTTTTACATCGGAATATATAGGGAAAATCTTTAAAAATATTCTTCTCAAGAACCTTTGGGTCAGGAAAGATGAAACTCATGTGGAATCATCCTCAGGTAGTGTAGATTCAAGATTGTTCAAATCATGACCCCCGGGGGAAGGGTGGGGCCAAAATGGCCGATCAAAGTTTTACATAGGAATATATAGGAAAAATCTTTAAAAATCTTCTTCTCAAGTACCACTGGGCCAGGAAAGCTGAAACTTATGTGGAATCATCCTTGGGTAGTGTAGATATTAAATTGTTCAAATCATGACCCCCCGGGGTAGGATGGGGCCAAAATGGCGGATCAAAGTTTTACATAGGAACATATAGGGAAACCCTTCTTCTCAAGTACCACTGGGCCAGGAAAGATAAAACTTATGTGGAATCATCCTCAGGTAGTGTAGATTCAAGTTTGTTCAAATCATGACCCCCCGGGGGTAGGATGGGGCCAAAATGGCGGATCAAAGTTTTACATAGGAACATATAGGGAAACCTTTTAGAATCTTCTTTTCAAGTACTTCAAAGCCAGGCTTCGTTATATTTATAGGGAATCATCATCAGGTAGTGTATGTTCAAGTTTGTTCAAATCATGACCCCCTGGAGGGTGTAAAATTCAAGCCCGCCCCCCCCCCCCCCCCAGTTTACTTTCAGTTCTGATCTGATCTGTCTTTTTTCCTAGCCAATTGCTCAGGTGAGCGATGTGGCCCCTGGGCCTCTTGTTTCAATATTAATTACAATCTATTTGGAACGCTTATATGGCTGAAAATTTCATTTTGAAATTCGTAAATGAATGAAGCAACGTTAAAATAAAGAGCAATACGTTTTCAACATTAAATTTTGTTCAGTTCGAAACTTTTACTGCAAATATCAGTGAATATTTACATTCACTGTGCTTTTCTACTATGCAAACTGTGGAATTAATTGGAAAACCATTTTCGTATACACTCTCGCGTAGAAAAATACACGGAGGAACGTGCGCTAAAGTGACGTCACAATGAGGCTACAACGACGTTAGTAAACATGCAACAATGTAGGGCAGCGAGTAATACAAACATTGAGTATATCTATTGTGCTTTAAGACATTTAAAATGTAAACATATGGAATGTGTTAAAGTTTTGTGTGAATCATTGGTGTGTAAATCCCACAGGACTTGCACGCATGCATATTTTTCATGAAATGCTTCACGAAATAAGCCTACATGACAAATCTGTGTGATTTACACACCAATAAATCACAGAAAACTTAAAAACATTCCTTAAATATTTACTAAACCGTATGCATTTGTAAAGTATTCCAGTTGAAATTGATATTTAAATTTGTAGCGAAGATATTACATCTGTAAATTTGTAAGCGTCATTAAGAATTATTAATATGGCATGTGTTTGGAGAATGGCTGATGAAACAAAGCTTCTTTTTCGTTTTTAGGAGGAATATCACTATTGCTTCAGAGATGTTTCGAATATCTTAACAGAGAATTCATCAGAAGTTTACAACAACACGGAATGTGTTTACGCAAATACATAGGTCTTCTACTTTTCCATCAAAGCGTGCAACATTCTACTTGCTTCTGTAAAAGAATGGACACAGACCATTATTCAATTTGGACGTGAAAAACCTAATTTTTTAAATAAGATTCATCATCTCTATTGACTGATAAAAAATACTTATTGTTTATCCCATTCTCAAAGTTTTTTGCACAAATATTATATCTGAAAGAGACTTATCAGATATTGATATTTCACCTTGATATTTTCTTGAGAGAATACTAGTTATTAAATCCAGTAAGAGTTAGTGCTCTTTGAAAAGATTTTTAATAAACGCCGGTCTATCATAAACCCAGGGAATGTCAGGTAATCTTTATGTGTGTGTATAAGTATGTTTTTGAAGTAGATATTCTAAATGATCATAAAAAACATCATGCAGTCTTCATTCATAGACATTATGAAAGGCAAAGATGAAAAAAATGTTATGTACATGTATGTATAGCATAAAAATTTATGGGGTTTTTTTTACAAATAGTCGTTCATGTGTAATCATCATCGAATTTCGAATGTGAGCAGGAAGTAGTCCCTGGCTAAAAACCATCAAACTATCCTTTTTTATTATATTATCACAATAAATCATGATCATTTGTTTCTTCAATCTTCAATTTTGCCGAATTATCGATGAACATATAATATATATTCCTTAATTTTCTTATTAAAGAATTGAAAAAAAAAGATTTTAAGGTAAATAATATAACCATACAATGAATATGCAAAGACAACAAAATTAGACAATTATATATATGTAAAATTAAAGAATACAAGTGAAAAATTATACAATATAGACTTAGCGTGTAAGAATGAAAATGGAGTATATAAAATGCATTGTATGAATGTAAATTATATAGTACAATCTGAAAATTACAAAATACAAAGAAGACCATAAATTACAGTATTAATGAAAAGATATGCAAGCAAAATAAAAAAATATATATATAGAATGTTAATGGAACATTGAACAATACAATGGAAATTGTATACATATCTTGTAGAAACAGAATATTGAAACGTTTGGCATACAATAAAACATGTAAAGCATACGTATTATAAAGATAACATTGCAGTGTATATTTACCGGAAACCAGATTTCTTCACGTTATAATCCAATTCAATTCAAAGTACCTAAAATCTTCCTGTTGCATTATTGTTTTTTATAGCGTTCAAAAAGATTTTCCTTGTTTCTAAAACAGCTCTCAGATTTGAGGGAAATATTGAGTATATTAAAGATCCCTTTGCTAAGGATGCGATCAAATCTGCCTTCAAAATGCATCAGAAAATGGATCATCTACTCGCTAAAGAGTATGACGATCCCGATGTAAAATGTTAAGCACGCACTAACTTTTCAACAAAGGTATGCGGTGTACCAATCTCTTGTTTTGGGAATAATAAAAATTTGTCTGAAGTTGGATTTTTCTGTGTTGAAAAGTAAAAAATAGTTATTTTAAATAAGGTAAGTACATTCGTTTTACACGCATGTAGTTGTCATAATAAAGTTCCAATCATTTCTAATTATTTATTCAAAAGTTAACTTTGTATTTTTTTTCAATAAGTACACATCTTTGCTGATCTATAATCTATACATTATATGTTGTCGCTTAAACAGAAAAAAATACAAACTATATAGATGCAGGAAAAAAACAAGAAAGAATTCCAAGTAAAAATGAACCTTCATTTCTTTTTACGGGAATGTGTACTTAATGCTGCATAGTGTGGTCGTTTTTGTTTCCACGAAGAAAAATTTAAAAGTCATAGGAATTTTAGTAAAGTTTATTTTTAGAATCTACATAATTATATACAATAGTTTAATTAAAAATCAAAATTAAAAATGGTGTTAAATATGTTTTTTTGGCGATATGGTACATTTGATACAATACAACGACGGATTTTTCTGTAATTTCCTGATCGTGACAAGGAGCACACGGCGGGTGTGACCGGTCAGCAGGGGATGCTTACTCCTCCATGGCACCTGATCTCACCTCTAATGTTTCGGAGGCCCGTGTTTGCTCTGCTTTTATTTTGTATTGTTTTATGGACTTTGAGATTGAATACTGTTCGTTATCTCCATATCCTTGTTGATATAACTATTTTGTACTGAATGACGTCTTAATCATAAACCATATCTTTTAAATTTTCCCTCCAATATTTTCATTCCAAATGATTCATGAGGCAAAATGTATTATTAATATATATTTACAAAGCATTAGAATTGTAACAAATACAAAAATTTTAAATTGTTTTGCGTAATCAATTAATTGAACCTTTTTGCACTCAAAAGATGCCATTTTTCTAGAATTTAAAATTTGACAAGCAAATAAGTTATTTTGAAGTCGTAAACTTTTACAGAATTTAAGCAGATTGATTAAATAATATTCAACAACATCAATTAAAATCTAACCATGTTTACATGGAATATTCTGATCGTCGGTCAAAACAAATAATTTGTACAATTGCAATAAAATCATCTCATTTTCCGCAATGGAATTTATCGAGATAGCGAATAGTATTCCAACTCAAAAGTCCATTAAACAATACAAAAATAGAAGCAGAGCAAACAAGGACCTCCAATCATCAGAGGTTGGATCGGGTGAAGATGCGGAGTGAGTATCCCCTTCCAATATTATTAATGATGTATTTTATGCTGATTGATTTTGAATCAGTTGTAGGATACTGTAGATTCTTTAAAAAGGGAAGCATTCATTATGGCATAATTTTGCGAGAAGCACCGCTGGCGAAATAAAATTATTCTCGTTTTTATGGTGCTGAAATCAATGTAAAATCTTTCGATTAACCGCCAACTCGCGAATTTTTGATCTCGCGATTTGACTTAAAGGCATTCGGCGATAAAATGCAGCGCGAAAAATCATAGACCAACAGTACTGTTGATACAAAGAATAATGCCAGGTTATTTTCAGTATTAAAATTAAAATCAGAGATCTTTTTAACTAAATTCACAAAGTGCTTTTCAGATATAGATGAGTTGATGATACGATTGAAATGATGTATAAATTATCTTAAAGTTGAGCAGCAATATCATATTTTTGATATATTTCCGACATCAGTATTGATTCAATCTTGAAGCTGTTATTCGTTTTTCTATGCAATATTACAAGTAATTAAAATGCCAATTATCACTTCAAATTTAAACCTGTTTATCGGATGATAGCAATTAGCCATTTGATTTGACTTTAAAAAGGCATTCGGCGATAATATGCAGCGCGAAAAATTATAGATCTACAGTACTGTTGATACAAAGACTAATGCCAGGTTATGTTCAGTATTAAAATTAAAATAAGAGATCTTTTTAACTAAATTCACAAAGTGCTTTTCAGATGTAGATGAATTGATGATACGATTGAAATGATGAATAAATTATCTTAAAGTTGAGCAGCAATATAATATTTCCGACATCAATATTGATTCAATCTTGAAGCTGTTATTCGTTTTTCTATGCAATAATACTAGTAATTAAAATGCCAATTATCACTTCAAATTTACATGTACACTTATCTATCGGATGATAGCAATTAGCCATTTGATTTATGAATAGCAATACATACACTGTACATTTGTGAGTCATTAAGTTGAAAAAATATGTGACTGTATGATAACGAAATTAGTTAGGTTCAAAAAGAGAATCTTACATATAATGTTTCCAGTACTTATAAGTGTACCTCATAGCTAATGACTGAATATTTTGATTCTCTAACATACAATTTGACAATAATGTACTTGCAGGTAAATTGTATTGTCTTTTAAAAAATAAATTTAACTTTAAATTTGTTATAAAGAAAATTGTTGATGAACAATCAGCATGCATCAGGATACATGAAGTGTATTTGAATTTATAAGGAACAACAACATCGTCATATTAAGAGAAATAATTATTATATAATAATTATATATTTGATATGATATATTTTTTTTATCATTATATAAAAAAAGATGTCACTATTTTCTGCTATCTTTTTATTGACTTGATAAACAGGTCTATAAATATCGTATCTCAAACTGTTTCCCTTAAACCAGAAAAGATTATCTTGTAATAGATTATTGAAAATAAGGAAGAACTGGAAATTGCTAGTGTTTCTTCCGACATCAGAGTAGTTTTCAAGAAAAAAAGAACATTTAAATTCTAAATTTATACTGAACAACAGGATGCAGTAAAAAATACTTGAAATAACTTTGAATATACGTGATACAATAGTATGCCTTGAAATACAAAGAATGTGCGCTGTATGAATTTAGGAAATATACTTTTAAGTTTTATATAATATAATACTTATTTGATTATTTGATGGAGAGACCCTTGAAGTGTGAAGTGAGCGTAACTAATTTCAATGAACACTTCAGGCTTAGCACATGCAAAATAGTCATCAGCATCTACCTGGTATCAGGATCAGCATTTAATAATTAGCATTTCATTCAGGGTCAGCATCAACTCCAAAAAAAAATCGATTCTTAAAAAGCATGTTCCGAGTGCGATCATTTTAAGGGATGCATGTTGTAGGCAGATATGTGTCAGGGATTTCAACAACTGAAGTAACAGTAAGCATTTCGTAAATTCTCTGGTAGTTAAAATGACTTTGTTTTCAAATAAAATCTATCATTTGGTCCTACTTTCGTTGTCATGTTTCATACCAATGGAAAGTTCCCTGTTTCTATAACGAGTTTGACTAAGGAATGTTCCGTCCTCCTTATCAATATATAGGGCTCACGGAGGGTGTATCTGGTCCACAGGGAGTGCCTTCTCCTCCTGGGTACCGGATCCCGGCCCCCTCGGGAATTTCAGGGGCCATGTTTTATGCCTTCTTCACATATTTGTATTGTTAGATATATATTTGTTGAATTGATCACTGATTTTTGCTTCAATATTTTCATGTCAGAAAATTTATGAATTAATTTCCAAAAACAAAATTCCTCTGAGAGCCCATGTATTGAAAAAGAGGCGTTGTGAATTCGTAATATCCTTGAACTTTGAAGGACCTAGGTGTTTTAGTATGTATAGTTGCTAGGAAATAAAATATAAGCCCACCCCTTGAAGAATAGAAAAACATGGATTATAATCTTCTAAAATGGTATCATTTGGCAAATTCTTTGGTGGAAAAAATAACAACGACTGTCGACTGTCGTATTTCATAATAATCCTTCATTTGTTTTCTTGTGCTTATTTTTTCTTTTCAGGAAAAAGAATCCAATAAAAAAAGATTGAACCAGGAACAGCATAAAACATTTCTTAACATCTGATGAAGACGGACTTTCTACTGTTACAGCGATGTCACTTATTACTTTGAGACTTTTATTAATCAGTATTAGTCTCTTCTTTCCTGAAACGTTTTGTTACCGTAAGTTCATTGTAACTTTTTACAATGGAATTTTACAATAGATTTAGTGCATGTTGATTTTTAATGATAATCTATTAAATGAAACACTTCACGCCTATATTCTGTACTATAAATGTAAGTTCAGAACAGCAAAAATTATCTTAAACATGTTATTTATTTTTATACGCTTGTCTGTACAATGTTTATTAATAATTATAATAATTTCTTTCGTGCTTTACTCGTTATGATCAAATATCGGTTCTTTACACACCAACTGCTCCAAGATCTACAATTCTAAATGTTCTTATATTGAAGGTCAGCTTGTATCAGATTTAACCGAGATTAGGCAGAGTTCTACATATGAGAACAATGTAGCCTCTCGAGCAATAGATGGAGGGTCAGGGTTCTCTATGTCCAGTGGATCCTGTTCTCATACAGGAGTAGGACAATCGGAAGCCTGGCTACGAATAGACCTGAAGAAAGTCTACTCAATCAATACTATAGAAATATTGTATCGAAATGATCGTAAGTAAAGTATTTCCTTTGGGTTATCATTTCTTGTGAAGGGAATGTGGGGTAACACGCTTTATGCTAGCATGCATATCTCTACAGCAAAGTTACATTTTTCTTAATACCTTATTCATTATAGTATCTATTTCATTTATTCCAAAGATATTTTGAAAATGAACTTAACGGAAATATTGTAATTTTTTCCAAAAGGCGGCAGTGATTTGGTGAACACCCAAAGATTACACGGTTATTCTCTGCAGTACTATGATAATGAATGGAAGGAATGTTATAGGGACAGTACGCCTGATAATGTCCCCATACCAATGCAGTCCACCGTACCCTGTCGCCAACACACTCAATATATAAGAATCTACACATACACACCGAGTCCAAACGATCAGTATGTCTTCCTGGAAATATGCGAAGTAAAAATATTAGGTAATGGAACCAAGTGTCCCAAAACTGATAAAATAAAAGCAACAATTGTATTTAGAACATAGGAACTCCGTTTCATATATGCATCTCCAAACTTGTAGAAATATATTTAACAGAAGGTATGTATTTTAATGATCTCTATAAGAAACAAATATATAGCTAGCTATATTTTCTATACATAAAAGGTTGTTTTTTATTATAATAATTCCAAGACTTCTTCAAAGCCTATACTAGTATTTCACTGTAAAGATCAAACTGTTTCACTTGAGTTCTTGAGTAAAGTTTCCAAGATAATCACAGATAAGTATGACAATTACAGTTTTAACGTATTTTGTCAGGCTGTTTTTCAAACTGAAACCTTGAGTTTAAAGGTTTCTTTAAAATATGAAATTGAAATATCATATCAAAATATCATTATAAGAAGGGAAGGATGCATTTCTGTCAATCATTCAAATCAAATGTAATGGCAGATTAAATCAATCACATTTATAGACCTTTCAGTGGTCATTATATGTTGACTGAAAGGTCATCTTCAGCCTTTAAAGATTTGCTCATTTGAAGAATTTTATCTTAATGGATATTTAGGAAAAAGATGTCAAGTACTTCAACTTATTTATTACAAGCTAATGAAAAACGGTTTCAACCTAACATTAATCTTATGAAAAGAAATCTTACTCTGATCTTGTATGTCAGACCGTCTTAAAAATGGTGTTGTAGGATGAAAAAGTTTTAGAATCGATTTAAAAAACTATTATTTTGAGTCGGTTCACTTTTTTCTCCAGACATTCAGATTAGGGTAAAGTTAATAAAGATTTTTAAAGATGTCTTGACTAAAGTCAATCTACTTTTTCACATTTCGATTAGAATAAATTTAATTACTCCAATTATTAAATTCTTTCAAGTTGTCATTTTAAGTTACATAGAGGGTCATAAATGTCTTCAGCACCACATGTATTAATGCTTCAGTAGCATGTTTATGAAGTTATGTAAGAATATCTTTTCATCATTTACAATATAAATGATATTCATTCTCATAACTTTGTTCTATTTACATTATAATTACCTATTCATTTTTATTATTGGTCCATTTAAAAAAAAAATCCTGGTAATTCTTCTGAAGATTCTTTAATGTGGCCTTTAACATGTATATTAATTTAAGACACGAAATTCGACGATTCTAAAATGTATTACATGTTTACAATAATTTATTCATTGCTTTGTTCAATGCATATGATTTTTTTATTGAAGAAACATTTTTCATACAGGTTGCGATGTACATCAATATGGAAAGAATTGTACTCACTGTTCACGCGGTTGTAATAAATGTGACATTGTCAATGGTTGTGTAAAGTGTAAACCAAGATTTTCCGGAGAAAATTGTGGTATGATAAATTCTAATCAATAAATTGTATATAAAGTGTAAATCCAGATTTGTTGGTAACAATTGCATATTTTTAAGCAGTATACTGATAATACGTAATATTGCGAGTACCTTGCTACCGCTCTTTTGCGGGAGAGTCGAGAAAGCTCTAGATTTTGGGGACACATGGCATTGTTTACAGTAGTAACAATCAAATGATTCGATCAATCTAATCCCGAAAGTACAATGTATTGCCAAGAATTGGACTCCAAATAATAGATTGTCAACTAAGGAAAGTTTAGAATATTTTATCTGCTTTAAAATGTGACGATTTTCAATGAAAATTTAATGAGAAAAGTCCCCTTAGTTAAAAATATCGTTAAAAATGTAACATTTTAATATTAGCTCGTCTCAAAAATTAATTAGGCTGGTTCAGCAATTCTTATGCAAGGTATTCCATCAGGTTTATTTTTTACTTATATATCCTTATAAACTCTACAATGACCGATCTTGCATTGTATTCAATAGCACATTTGTCCCCACCCAACAGACGTTTCCTACCTCCATCGTGAAAGAGTTCCGCTAAGTTGAGTTATCGCGATATCTAGTACATGTATTGAATGAAGAAGAATTGTTTAGAGGGACAGGCTAACCATTTCTGGGCTATTCCTTTATTTTCTTTGATTTATGTTTTGCAGAATCTTGCACAGCGAAGTGGTACAACGAAGACTGTTTTCAGAAATGCAGTGATAATTGCCCAAATGACGAAACTTGTAACGAAGTGAAGGGAAATTGTCCAGGAAGGTGCCTACCGGGATATAGAGGGGCCATTTGTGAACAAAGTAAAAGCAGTTTTAGGATGCATGAGGACATATTATATTTATTTCTAGATTTTTTATATCTCCCTTCCGGACATTTGTGTACAAATTAAAAGCAGTTTTGAGATGAATGATGACCTACTTTATTTATTTTTAGGTTTACGTCTTCCTTCGAAAAGCTGTTTTAGCTCATGATCATGTGAGCTTCTTCTGAACACCTTTTATCCATCATCTATCTTTTTATCTGCCTGTTTAGCTGGGGGGATTTTATTCGTATGAAAACGTCACATTATCAACTTCTTCTGAAGTATCACTTGACCAATTTAAAAACAGAGATTCAAAACTGAGTGTCCTTTAGTATAAGGAATTGTAAATTGTTTAAATGAATAGCCAAATCTTCTTTCATGAGAAAATAGTCCAGAAAATGCCAGATCGGGGTCATTAAAAATCCTTATAAAGGACCGCATGCACTGATATGGGTGACATCATGGGATCAAGGATTCTCAATGAAATGTATTCTGGTAAAATAGGGTTTTTCTTCTCGAAAATCATTTCAGTTGACAAAATATCTTCATCAATATTTCTTTTAATTAGAGTGCTCAGGTGGGATGTATGGATTCAAGTGCATGAACACGTGTGATACTTGTGTCAATATGTCATGTGATCATATTACTGGGTCATGTGACCATGGCTGTACCGAGGGATGGACTGGGGACCTTTGTGTGGAAGGTGAATAGTTTTTCTTTCTTGTTTTTCTCTTCATATGTTAACTTTTTAACAACAAGTAATACCAAAATCATTTCGTTTTTTTAATTTCAGAGTGCTCAAATGGCACTTACGGTTTTCAGTGTAAGAACACGTGTGATACATGCGTTAATATGTCATGTGATCATGTAAATGGGTCATGTGACGTAGGCTGTATAGACGGTTGGACTGGAGAAATGTGTGGAAAAGGTTAATTGATTTTGCCTTTCTTTTGCTTTCTTTTCTAGGAGCTATTTTTTAAGTATCGCGTACATTCTCGACACCTTTGAAAAAAAGCAACAAAACTAGCCCTTGTCTTATGATAATATTAATAATGTGTTTACTATATACATATGGAAATGATTAAAATTATGTATACACTATTTTTGGCATCCAGTATGTTTAATAACATGTAGCCATTCGATTGACATACACGTCGACATAATAATAAAGACATTTCAAACCCAAAATTAAAAATTTCAAACATGTTCAGTGCATTATGTCTATATTAATTATCGATAATAATTGTAGAACTCGGCAAATTCATCAATTTTCAGTTTGCCCTGAAGGTCATTACGGTCACAACTGTTCTGGACAATGCCAGAATTGTGAAAACGAGACTTGCAATCACGTGTCAGGGTCGTGCCAGGGATTATGTAAAGAAGGTTGGGGAGGAGACAAGTGTCAGGAAGGTAACGTTACGAAAGTAAAGCATCATCGCCATAATGAAGACTTGAAATGCAGTATCAAAATTCTGAGTAGTCAGAAATCATTTTAAATGATATAAATATACAAGCAAAGGTGAGGATTTTGATTAGAAATCGATATACTAATACATGTATGTGAGTAAAGCTGCATACTTGACATGCTTCAAAAAGATAAAAAATACTTGACTGATATAAAATCAAGTATAATTAATATTTTATGGTTTTCTTTGGCAAAATAAAGTTATATGTACAGATAACTAAGACATAAATAAAGTTATCTAATGCAAATCAAATTCTTTTTTGTTTTCTTCATCGATACTCTTTTTTAAAGTTTCCTTAAAGTTGACGTTTTCAATTTCGTTTTTTCAGCTCTTAAAACCTCTACAGTGATATTCCCTTTTATATATGTATTAAATGGAGCCTGTGGAAGTATACTGGTGGTTTATATAGTCATAATTATTGTCGTGGTAGTAAGGTAATGTATCTTACTTTTACGTATAGGTAACCTTAGCGTAAGTTTGATTGGATTGATAGTATTAATTTTTCTTTGGACAGAAGTGTTGGTTATATGTTTCAATTATTTTCATTTCAGAAATTTGTTTAGCTTTGGGGAATTTTTTTATAGTATTTCTTAATCAAAGTTTGATAATGTGAAATTGAGTGTTTGGCATTATAAATAATGATTCAATCGTGCTCAAAGGGACATTTACACCGCTTGAATTGATTATTTAAAAACCAAGTTTAATGTTTAATATTATTCTTTTCTTGTACAATTCTAATGATGAGCAAAAGTTTGAACACCATTTATTGATTTACAAACGAGATACAGAACTGAAAATCCTTCATAATGTAAACAAGATTCGTGTCTTGTTTTGGTTTACATATAGAAAATATCAAATTTGAAAATAAGATTCTGTCAGTACATCACTTGAAATCGCTAATCGCCGTCATACTATTGAAAAAGCTGCTTTGAATAAGCATATTTTACTATGTTTAAGCAATGTAAACAAAAACATGGCTCGAGCCTTGTTTACAAAACAAAGGTTTGGATTTTTTAATCTGTGTTGTATCTAAACAACCGAAATTCGTATTTTGATGATCATTAGAAATACCTTAGTTAAGTATTTATAAATATAAAAAATTTGAATTTTTTTTTAGCTGAAACTGTGTCTAGTGTTTTAACTGTGTTTAAGGCTAATGCAACTTTTATTACGTAAAAATACGTGTAATTATTTTGATACTCAGTAACTGAAGGGGGAAAGAAAAAATTTAAACTTGGAGAGATACATAAATATATATAAGATTTAAAAAAAAAATAATGTAATTATTTTGTTTATCATGTTTCCGATTTGTATATTTGTGCGTTTTCTGCTACAAATATTGTTCTACTTCACTGCCTTATTTTATTCAGAAAACGTCAACGAAAACGACCATGTAATTCCAAATTAAATTGTATACGTGAGTGTTTTCAGTTATTTATCGTTGCTTTTCCTTAAAAAATTGAAACGTTCTGAAAATGTTCTTTGTATGTTAATTAACATCAACTTCGAGAAATTTTTTACTCATATGGATACATCATCACTTGCTGGTGGTTTAAATTCTAATGCTTGGTATTTGTACTAAGGGCCATTGAGGAGTGAACTATCTTTTTCGTGACAACACCTACTGGACCTTGGTTTTCACATTCTCAATATATGACCAGTCTCCATATCCTTCAGTGCATTTTTACAAATATATTCATTGCTTGCGTAATCTATTTCGCTGTTTTTCTTTTCTGTTCAGGGTGTTCCTCAAAGTAAACTGATAAACAGGTATCGCATACGATATCAAAATTTATATTTTGGCTCTTTTTTATCTTTATTCAGAATATGGATAATATCATTAATTATCATTAATAACATTATATTGATAGGAAAAAACGATTAATATGAATGAGAAGTCAATTGGATAAAATAACTTTAGCTAAAGCACAACGAAGTACTATTGTTTCCGATGTTATTGAAATATTACATACTCAAATAATCAAATTAAAATGATCATCTCAGGACATATTTACTTCTATAAAGGTTAAGTGTTTATGTTTATTACACGAGAGAGCACTTAACTTATATATCCATAAACACTGTAAAAAAAAAAAAAACTAGTTAAAGTCACAAAGAAGATAAGTGGTTCATACAATCAATACCTTAAAAGTATAGTTTTACTAGGTATTGTGTATATGTACTAGATAAGATTAGTAAATCTAGAATTTACAAGTCACTTTCACTAGGTATCAGGGTATCTATACGAACCCTGCTCCACAACTCACAATCGTAACCAGTAAACTGAAAGATTAATAATCACGACAAGAAGAAGTTATGGTTTTAGCTTTATTGTGCCCTACAAATGTAATGTCATCAAAAAGTTTTGAAACTGGCTTAAATATTAGTTAGTTATATAAATTTGATAAATCAGGAAAGAATATGGCATGAAGAACCATTACCATTCTGCAAATAGGACGTCATGAATGTGACACATTTTTCTATTTTAAACAGGAAAAGCCTCAAGGCCCATTTCAAGGGTAATTTTCCTTTAGAAAATAGTGTACACAACCGTCGCCCACTTTATTTTTTTGATATTTTGTGGAAAAGTCAATAATAAAAAATCACATATCTCAAAATCTTTGTGGGCGATGCCTGTGGACATAGTTTTCTGAGAGAAAACTCTATTGAAAGTTGATGTCTTCTGCTACTTTTCAAGAAAATGGGGGAAAATACACATCTTTATGACATCACAATTAGCATTTAAAAATACATGTGAGAAACATATGCATGATTTGTTTGATTTTTCTTCATGGAATCAATTCCAATGATTCAGAAAGCACGTGTTAACATCTTTTACACCAGTTTCATTTTTAAGAAAATTACAGGGCAAGATTTAAATGGAAACCCCACCTGTTCTTGACAATGCACACTAGTTAAATTCACTAGGTTTTTCTTTCAATGAATAGAAATATTATTGTCTAAAACAAATAGAAACAAAACAAAATTATGATGTGATAGACCGCCCGCGTCAGATAGCTAATTGCCAAGCTGAAAATATTTTAAAAGTCAAACTTCATGCAAAAATTAAAGACTGGTAAAAATAATATTAGTACACAAAGAAAGGTCTTCCTACAAGAAATAAACATATTATACATACATGTGAATTATTTTAGCTTAACATTCATACTTTTGTCTAGTGTTCAAAAGTTAAGGCCAGGGTTTATTTCTTAAAAAGAAGGTCAAAATTTTGGTGTTTTAAAATAATCCTGCCACAAGGGATACACTCATAAAATTAGAAAGCCAACGTTATCAACCTTTCAAAATAATGCATGGTCAAGCTGAAAGTTTGCTAAAAATGGGTCAAACTCCAAGGTCCTAACAAAGGAAATATACCTGTGAAACATGAAAATTTCATCACCATTAGTACTGTAAATATGGACATGGTTAATTTTTTTATTTTCCAAAAGTAATTCAAACTTCAAGGTCAAGAGGTTATAAACCTTTATTGCTGCATTATTCAAGATCGAGAGGTCAAGTATGTAGGTACCCGAAGAAAGTCACAAGAAATATAAATGAAAAATTAAGGACGTAGATCAACCAATAGATTGATTGATTGTATGTTGTTTTTTACGCCTCCTTTGAGACGTTTTTGTATATATAGATACGTCACCATAGCCCAGTGAATGGCTTCTAAAAAACCTTTTCTTGGCACTCAAAGCAGTTCTACAGTGAGGGTTCTTTATCGAACCAACGCTTGTCGTGAATAGTTCTAGAATTTTTGGGCTTCTTTCGAAAGACCTGCAAGTTTAATTTCGAATCTACGATCGATTGGCGAGTAAACAATAGCTACCATTTTTTTAAATTGACTTATGTCAGTCAAATGTTAAAAGTTTTCAGTTTTCAAGGCATTAAGATGTATCAACATTGTGAATTGTAAAGCATTCTACATTCTTGTTTTTACCCCAAAAAATAAAAAAATAATTTTCAAGGATCTGTATCTGCTTCTTCGAATCGCCAAAATTTGAACTCAAGCCAGAATCCAAGGAAGCAAGCAGAAAATCGAAATCAAAATGACGTCATCGAGGAGCCAATGTATTGCAACATAGAGCTTCTGACTAAACATGACATGGACTCGTGCAGCTTGAAAAAACCACATCTTGACGAAGCCATTGTTTCAAAGAAGGTAAAAAATGTTACAACTTTCAAAAGCAAAATACCGTGAGGTTCAATGTTCTCAATGACTTAATATGAAGATTTCTGAAATTTATCATATTGTATTCTTTAACTTTTTTTTATTCTAAATGTTTAATAAATATATAATTAGTATACAAGTTTAATCGTGAATACCAAAGCTGCATATAAAATTTAAAAATCAAATATCAACAATTATCCATTATTTATCTTATTGTCCAACAAGGTTTGGGTAGATTTTTTTCCCAACAAAAATCGGCTGAATTGGTTTTTCAGTGAGAATGAATATGATGGTACATTGTAGATCTAGATATGTTGAAATATCAAGTTTTGTGCAAATTTGGAATATCCTTTCAGGTGTAAAATCTTACAATCTTAACAACATCAGTCAGGTTATGTTTAAAATGATGATTTTTTTTTCAGTCAATCCCTAGCGTAACAAAGGTCATGTCAAATGATACTCTGATATATGAAGATACGAATTCCAATAATGATGTTGACGCTGAGACTGCTTCGAGGAAGAAACCGTTGCGCGTCAAAGTACGTTTGAAATTTATAGCATTGGAAACTTTAATAGCATAGCAGAAGCATTTAATGATTATTTGTGTTGAACTGTTGATGTCAGTGAAGTGTTTGAACAGGCATTGTTTTTATTAGTTTATTACATAACTGAGTTGCCAAACTCGACAATGATAACAATGTAGAAAGTTGCTATCTCAATTGTTTGTATATTTTTTATCAAGATTTAACTAAACTGTATTATTATAATAATGTACTTGCCGAAAAGTGTTTGATATGGCTTATTATTGATTACTTATTAAATAATTTAATAATTAATTGCCAGTCAAGGAAAGAAACAAACTGCCTCGCTGTTAAAGAGGAGAGCTACCCTAAAAAGAACGGAAAGAGAAGACCGGGTTTGTACATGATCTATGCAATGTTTTGTTTTATTTAATTATTTACATAGTAATTTGTTCATGTATATTCAGTGTTTGCTTCATGTACTAATAATTTGTACATGATCTTTTCAATGTTTGTTTCATGTATAAGTAATTCTTAGTTTCATGTTTATCGTTCACCAAAGGCCTGTTATATTTTTGTATCAAGCATAACTGCAATGCATATCCTCTTTTAAAATACAAAAAAATGTTTCTTTTTCCATTTTCATACCTCTCGAAAGAAGATACTGGTAGGTAAAATGATGCTTTTTCGAGATATCTTAAAGACATCTGTAGTTAGAGAAACCTGACTGTAAAAATCTTGAAAGACGCACTGACACTGAAGTACAATGTAATTTCGGCGCTGAAAACAGAAATGCTTACGTTTCATCTATGAAATAAATTTGGATGTGGCATTCCTCTTTGTGATTATTTAAAGCCATGACTAGTAAAATACAACAGTTTTTAAATATAATTTAACCTGAATGTATGGAAAAATTCTCAAGTTCTAAAATTTTTTTTTCTATAGATCAGAAAATTCCCGTCTGCAACGTTTATTCAACGAGTCTAAAAGCCTGCCAACATCAAACTGTGGGCAAAACAGCGCAGCCACCGTGTAGGGAGGGCACAATTCAAAAAGCCTGCCCACAGCTGACAGGGGGCACAACATACCAACCGTGTAAGGAGGGCATGAGTCCAAAAGCCTGCCAACAGCGGACAGGGGGCACAAAAGTGAACCCACCGCTAAAGGAGGGCAAGAGTCCAAAGGCCTGTACACAGCGGACAGAGGGCAAAACAGCGAACCCACCGCTAAAAGAGGGCATGACTCCAAAAGCCTGCCCACAGCAAACAGGGGGCGAAAAAGCGTATCCACCGCTAAAGGAGGGCACATGCACAACGGCCTTCCAACAGCTGACAGGAGGCAAAACAGCGTTTCAAACGCTAAAGGAGGGTATGACTCCAAATGCCTGCCCTCAGCAAACAGGGGGCAAAACAGCGTATCCACCGCTAAAGGAGGACACGAGCCCAAAAGCCTACCAACAACAGTCGGATTGCTTAGAGGAGGCTATTTACCTGAATAATGAGCTGGAAACCTGTGACACTGGGGAGTCTTTGGTCTGGGACGGGGAGGAGACAATGTACTGGAACACAGGGGTCGCTTCTGACCGCAGTTCGGACTCCTCGGGCTACATTAAAATGACCTTATAGGTCCGCTGAATAGGACAAACGAGACAAAGAATGTTTGTGTGTTTTAATGTTAAAGAAAATATATATTAAAACTAATATGATGGTGTATGAACATATAGATTTGTTCAAAAGAATTGATGTACATGTATACGGTTTCGTGGACGTGGACATACATAACTGTTTGTTTTTACTTTTCATTGCTTCTGCGTATATAATTCATATCAAATACATGTATGTATATTCATCGACCTTTAAGAATTAAGTCATTCTAGATCTTTTTTTAATGTTTATCTGTATTTCTATACATGTACTTCTAAATTAATAAGTTTTGCAAATAAACACCGAAACGCTTGCAACAGAGTTCATGCTTTCTCTTCTAAGAATACAATAGGTATAATGTGATGTCCGTAATCTACATGTATATTCAGATTTCACTCTCATAGTAATTATCATTTTAATTAAAGTCTTCATTTTCAACTTTAATTTCGGTTAACAGCCTCGATATATCAAAAACGAGAGTAGGGTGGTGGTTTCGGTTTGCGGTCTAGGGTGGCGATTTATACATATGTGAACCAGTTAATTTTTGTTTCTTTTACGAAAAAATTCATGCGCTTGTAATTACGGAATTTTTCAGCAAATTAAAAGGGTGTATGATGTAAAACTGTAAGTACTATTTGAATTGAATTTATATCGTTCAATGCAAGAGATTGGAATTCTTGCACTAGGACTCGCTACAAGTAGTTTGTCATTAAGTATAGGTTACATCCCCTTCTGCTCGCTTGTATTTTATCATTTTTCTACATAACGCTTAATAAATTGTTTTCTTTGAGAAAATTAAGGGTAGACAGCTAATAATTATTAAATACGAGTTATTTCTCTTTTTTTTTCAAAATTTTTATTCACGTCTATTTCTGTAAAATATCTGTCTTCACATTATAAATGCATTCCCCGATAGTTTTCAACTTTTCATGCCTCCGCGCAATACAAATACATGTATTTGAAAACAAGAATTTCAATTTGATCACATTTTTTTAAATGTATCAAAAGTAAATTGCTATTTAAATCGAAAATTATATTTATTGCCAATAAGATTTTACATTTTCATTTCGTTGATAAAAATAATATTTATAAAAAAAATCTCATTGTGACGATTCAAAATTAGAATATTTTGAATCATCAGTGCTATGCGTCATTCTTCCAATCGAGGTAATACGATGCATAGGTGTCAGAACCGGAGAGGGTGGGGCTAGCAGGAGCCCCCCATCCCCCATTTTGGTAAAGATGGACATAAAGCCAGTGATGATTTGGGCGTACAATGTTTAGGTTTACCCCCCTGCCCCCCACTTCGACACGGACAGGGTGCAGTGTATTCAAAGAAGGGTTACCCGGTAAATGGTACAGTTTTGAAAAGGGAAAAGAATGACCATCAGCTCCACTCATTTAAAAGGTTTTTTGAATATAATTCACCGCCCTCTTTCAGGTGTAGTTAAGCCAACGAGGATCTGGAGCTGGGGTTTGCGATATACACCCTTCAAACAAAAAAAAAAGAGATTTATTTTTTGGACAAAAACAGCGGGACTGGAGGTCTAAATCAACCAGTGTCACTGAGACAGAACTTTACACAATCCTGTTTGAGTCTGTTATATTTTGCTTTTTCTCAGGAGTTTACGGGGATGAGGGTATTCCCCTTCATATAATTACCATGGTCACCTGTCGTTCAATAAAAACAAAGTGTTTCTAAAAAGGAAGGAAATTTACTGCCTGACTATCTAAGCTCATAAAACTTTTTTATGATAACGTTCAACAGGAAGGCATCATTGAAAACACGGGACTTCGAAATAAGATATCAATCTGTCCTCTTAGATTACATCGAGAATAAATGATAGTAATTTTTACAAATGTCAAACATTTCAAGATAAATGTAAGGTTGTTTTAGTTGATGCAATAATTGCTTCTTGCGAATTCTATTTATTTTTATAATAAATATTCGATCCTCTGCTTATTTTTTTTTACTTTGTCTATTCATTTAAGCTTTTATCAATATTAAATTTAAAATGTGTTTTATAAAAGTCAATGTTTTAAGATTTTAGAACTTTTTTGTCCCAATCCAAATCGAATATTTAAAAACAATTCTAATGTTCAACTACAGCATATATATCTTAAATGTGGATATTGAGAGAGAGAGAGTTAATAAAATGTCCTAAATCAATTTACTTCCCGATTCTTCAAAGCATTGCAATCTAACGGGATAATACCATGCCGTATTTTATATTCTGCCGAAATGGAGGGTCGCAACCAAGTTATGCAGTTACTGTCGTTATACATTTAGCATTTCAGCATGTGCTCACTTGTGTTTTATGTGGAACATGGCAGGCATATTAGCGGTAAGTGTTAATTGTTGCTGGATGCCGGTCGCCATGTCCTGTTTTAAGTTTGTGTCAAGATTTGCCCACTTTTCTTCATATTTTTGATTCAGTTTTATCCATTTTATGTCCTATCAGTATTTTGGTAATCAGTTAAACGCTAGTTGGGTAGACTTCAACGTTAATTGGTAAAGCTAAATAAGATTTATAATTACATTTATTGTTATCAGACTAGTCATATAATTAAAGTTAATTGTGTCTTCAGTAGTGCTGAACGTTGATGAATGTCTTGTAATCAGCTATATTCCGTTAAAGTACTACATGTACTAGACAAGCGCGTTATCTTTCTCGTATCGATTAGCCTGTTCACAGTCGTGCACGCTTGTGTGTACATGATCCTAAACGAAAGGGGCTTACTCGCGCCCTTATAAATAAAATGCAGAGAGTGAAAACCCAATAAAGTCCACTAAAACACTTAAAAAATTATAATTATATATTAAACTTGTAAATCTAATCGTCACACCTCTATCCAAGTACATAAGTATCATTTTGTGTATATGCATATAGAAAACAGAAAGTGCGTCAAAATGACTTGTTCTATTTCCGTAAACATTAAAAAGCAAATACTTGAAGTTTCTACATACACATATAAAATTAATGTATGTAATGCACAATCCAATGCTTGCGCGGGGGTGGATGGTAATCTTTTTTCCCATATTTAGCCAAATAAGCATTATTAATCTTCCCGACAGCCTTCTTTTGGGTCTTCCAAATCAATTGCGTTGCATATACGCTCTTTAACGCGCAGTCCTTTATTATTGTTACATGTATTTGAGGGTCAGGGTGAAAATTCATCATCATTTTTAATTTAACATGAACTGGATAATTATAAGTGTCAATTCCTTTTTCTTCTATGTATTTTTAGTATACCGTACAACTTTAAATTTCTTCATTCTTCACAATACATGTAATTGTAATAGACAGATGTAATCATACGATAATGGAAGTAATTGTATACGCTCATAACCTGTAGAGGACTGGAAAGTTATCATCAAGCAACCAGCAATTGGTGCAATTATATAATATATTGCACAGAGGTCATAATATCTGCAACATATAGGATAGAGGTGTCGCCACCTACCGGACTTTTCAAAACAAAGGACAGTCTAAACCAATCAAATAACAGCAACTCTTGCATTTCTGAATTTATTAACCGTACGCTGATTTTTCAACCAAAACAAATAAAAGGTTAAATTTCATACGATGATGGTTAAATCTAGGTATAAAATCATATAACAAATTTTGATAATTTGCTGTCAATAAATTATTCAGTTTAAAGCTTAGTTCAAGATCCTTTCCTGTACATGTACCATACTTATGTGTTAAAAGTATAAAATTTTTGAAAACATATTTTTGAAAAAATCATTTTTAAATTACTCATTATTTCATTTAATGATACGATAGCGGTGTTTTTCTTTGAAGTTTGCTGTTCTGAACGATACCACAGTGGATGGAGCTTCTTTCCGTTCTGTATATATTAGCCTTGTATACTGCTGTATTAGTCAACTATTCTGTATAGATGCAGCACTATCCAAAAGCACGTACAAATATTTAATGCTGATTTTTTTCCTATTATAAATTTTGGAGAAATATTTTACTATAGCAATGTATAATGTCAAAATTCCTCAATCACTTTTAAAAAAAAATATTTCACACAGAATCTACGCAGTACAGTTAAGGTGCGCAATGGAAATATCGGCTAAATTTCGTATTTAAAAATGTATTCGTAATCGGGATGGCGATTATTTTTAGTGCATTATTTATATCGAATAATTGTAATTATGATTAATAAACATATCGAGGACAAAGCGTGATGCGGCAGTCACACGATTTTAGTACATTGACTGGAAGTTTTGATGTTACATATAGATATCACTAGTGCAAGGGCATAACCAAGTTAAATTTCCAAGTTTAGTATATAAATATTTTCAAAAAGCACCTAAAAAGTGTGCGATCCTGTCTAAATTCTGCAATTTCATTGTTAAAATTATACTTGCTATATTTTTTGCTGGTCAGCGGCATGAAATATTGATATAATTAAATTGTTTTTAAGATTTCATCAGGATCGCAGCACTTTTCAGATACCTTATTAGTTCTATTGTTGAAATGTAAAATCTTACTTTGATCCATAGAGTGTATGCCCTTGCACTAGATCGATTTATTAAGACGCCCCACATTACCCTCCGATGTACTTGCATACAAATATACGGCAGTGTCAATTAAATACGTAATGTACAGAAAATATATTAATAAAATACGAAGAAGACTTAAATTCAAGTTATTTCCCAAGAATATCTGTAAATAATATTTTATTTAATTAGAGAAAATTTTGTTGAGAAAATATTAATCTGTCTCTCACTGCATACAAACTACGTCACGTTGTAAGAAATGTGACAAGTGTTTGCGATCAGTGACTTGTTTATAAATGTGGGATTTAACTAACGACAAAACAATACGCTGTAGTAAGTTTTTATGTAGTTTGATGATCTGTTTAAATTAGCAGATAAACTCATTTTGTGGTATTTTAAAGAAATGTATGACGTATATTGTGTATGACACAAATTAGGCTCCGCCTCCTTTTTGTAACCTTAACTGTGCTGCGTACACGTTATATTTCGATCCAACCGAAAAACGAAAATTCAAAGCTATGGAAAAATCCTATTTTGGATAAATTCCTGAAAACCTGTTTGCTTTCCCTGCTTTTATTGTGTCCCATTAAAAAAGTAAAGTCAACGGTACATTTATTTACTTTTTCCTGATGTTTGACAATGCAGTACATTCAAGTATGAAATGGAATTCATCAGCAACATGTTTTGCATTACAAAGTGTACATAATCTTTCATTTAATGGTATACATACCCATCTTCCCAGCTCAGCTGGTAGACGGTGATTAGTAGTATGGATTTGACAAGTATTTTTCTAAATTTTAATGGTAAAATATTTAAAATAATTTTCATACTCAAAATTTGTTTTAAAAATTTTATACAAAGTGTCTTTAGAAGAACTATTAATATAAGAATGCCATTTTTGTATAAATTGATCTTGTAATCTTTGTTTAACAAGAGAAGTAACCCAGTCTTGATTAGGATTATAATAAAACTGTTCATTCCAAATATGAGATAGACCACATGAGTCAAAAATACGATGAACACAGTCAATCCAAGGATTCTTACCAATCTCATATTGTGAGTTGGCAATTAAATATTGATATATTAATGTACATGAAATTTTCTTATCTGTGCTGTTCAGTAACTTTCACCAGTATGAGACTATTCTTGAATAAATGAGAACAGATAGTGGGAAACGTCCTTTTTCACCATAAACCATATAATTCGGGGTACAGAATATGTTTCAAAAATTTTAAATGAACACGTTCAATAATATCTAGGTTTCCAAAGCCCCAGATTTCACAGCCATAAAGTAACACTGGTAAAACCATTTTATCGAACAAATCAAGTTGACATATTCTACAGGGAGGGTAAATTGTCTTATTTTTCTGATAACACCATACATTGCTTTTTGGGCTTGGTCACAGAGATGTTTCTTGGCTATTTAAAAAGAGCCAGATCTTGAGAAAATGATACCAAGATATTTAAATTCTTTGACAATTTCGAGACTCTTGTTATTATAGTAAAATACTCTTTTGTTTAGGGGACCTTTTGAAAAAAAAATTATATTTTAGTTTTCTCAATATTTACTTGTAATTTCCACTCTGAGCAGTAGCTTTCAAATTCAAATCAAAGTGGCGGACATCCAATTTTTTAATTTTCTCAGAGTGTTGTTAAGATGGGAAAAAGAAGTGTGAATATCTCACTGAGTGTAATACAACTATAAAATGGATGAAAGAATACTAACATTATTAATTTAATTCAGAAAATTTAGTGATTTCTACACTTAATTCGAATTTTCTCTGATTTATTTGTCTATTGTTTCTATATTCTGCTTTGTTCAAAATTATACATTTGCAGATCTGTATCCATACACTGTAGATCGGTATTTCTTTCCCTTCGCAATTCACTATTTTACAACTGAATGATGATGCATCTGTAAGTTATAATTTAAATTTCGGAAAAATCGCTGCAATGGTCCATTGTTAAATTCGGAGAAAACAACCAAAAGCATCCATCCCATCTCATTGGACTTAGTAATGTGAGGCTACCACTACGATATCTGCCTACCTTTATATCAAGTACTACCTGGCATTGTGCTCACTTTGCATGCATATAAAAAGAATGGGAAGCTTAATTTCTAATTTCCTAATGTTCGATGCACATACGTGGACACTGTGTATTTGTAACGCAACTGAAAGACGATTTATTTTGTGAGTTTTTTTTCAGTTAATTTTACTTCTCCTCAACCTTCTATTGATATTTGCTACAATAAGTGAATTATATTAAATATATTTTTCTGAAGCTCGGGAAAAGGCAGAGTTTTTGCCGAAACAATTTAAAAGGAATACTTGCAGGCTTTAGATATGTTCCACTCGCATTCTACAGGTGTCAATTTCTGGAAAGAATGAACAATGACACATTGATATACAAAATTCTGAATGGTATGAGTATGAGAACAGCAAGAGCTGCAAGATGGTACTCAAGAGCAGTACCAGAGCACTGCTTGGAGAACTACAGACTGCTTCTTCACTTAGGACAGAATTGTTTTACCAATATCATTCTCGCAAATCACTCAATCTTCAACCATCTATTCACCCCTTCCCCTTTCTCCCTCTCACATACATAGCGAGCAGTAACAATGTTTTTCATAATGGATGATTGGAGGAGACAGGGTAATATGTTTTTCCCAAGGTATAGCAAAGTTAAAAGGAAGAGAAATTTCTCTTGGTGTCCCTTTGTTCTGAGCGTTGCTGATTATATTAAGAAGTCCATTTAATGACCAACCAAAAAAAAAAATAATACTTAAAAAGTTTCATTTTTTTTTCTAGAAATAGTTAAAACAAACTCGAC